GGAAAAAAAAATTACCGTATTTTTCGCACCATAAGACGCACTTTTCCCCACAAAACAGGGGGGTGGAAAGTCTGTGCATCTTATGGAGCGAAGAAAACAGATTATATTTTCCTGTTTTCTCTTCATAAAAAATTGGTGCATCTTATGGAAAGGTGCGTCTTATGGAGCGAAAAATACGGTATATTTCATGACTTTGTTGGGCTCTGTTGCGTTTTTAGTATTGGTTTTATTTACCATTTTTAATATAATACTTATTTAAATCTTTTAAAAATATTTGTAGATGTATTGCATTTAGCTTTTAAATATCATCTTCTAAATGAGGCAAGTTGCCTTGGGTTCTTTTAAGGAGAAAGGCAAGGTAAAAATGGGAAGGAAGGAAGGAAGGAAGGAAGGGAGGAAGGAAGGAAGGAAAGGAAGGAAGGAAGGAAAAAAAAATTACCGTATTTTTCGCACCATAAGACGCACTTTTCCCCACAAAACAGGGGGGTGGAAAGTCTGTGCATCTTATGGAGCGAAGAAAACAGATTATATTTTCCTGTTTTCTCTTCATAAAAAATTGGTGCATCTTATGGAAAGGTGCGTCTTATGGAGCGAAAAATACGGTATATTTCATGACTTTGTTGGGCTCTGTTGCGTTTTTAGTATTGGTTTTATTTACCATTTTTAATATAATACTTATTTAAATCTTTTAAAAATATTTGTAGATGTATTGCATTTAGCTTTTAAATATCATCTTCTAAATGAGGCAAGTTGCCTTGGGTTCTTTTAAGGAGAAAGGCAAGATGAAAATGGAAGGAAGGAAGGAAGGAAGGAAGGAAATGCCTTTGGAGAAATGCCAAGACTGAGATGCAAGTTACATAAATAACCTTCAAATATTGACATACATTTACCGTCCTCACTATTATTGGACAATAAATAAAATGCCTTTCTCTCCTTTCAGGGGACTTCTGGACTGGCTCCAAGCGAGTAAAATGAAGACTGCCTTTCTGAACGTCTTTATTTTATATGCCGCTCTGCCCTTCCTCATCCGGTTGTTCCCTCCGCTGTTGCAGAAGTTTGTGTACCTCAATTTCTGTACGTACTCCGACATAAATATATCAACACCGGTTTATCGGCATTGCTGCTCTTGAAGTGGGAGGCTAGCAAAGATGTCCCCATTCGCTTGCTGTCCATCCCCAATCAGCAGCTGGTGGGAGGGGGGCAGGATCCCCTTTGGGCCCCCTTTATTCTTAGACCAGGCCAGCTTGATTGGTCTTGTAGCAGAAGGGACCGCCGCACGTCTGCAGGGAAGGGGACTCAAGATGCAGGACTTGCTGCCAAGCGAGAGTTATCTCGCACTGTGGACTCGACGGAGACTTGACTCACAGGGTTTTTTTCCCCAGTGACTTGGGAGTCAACTCAGGACTCAGAACCCGCCCACCCTCCATTTTTTCCTAGCAGGACTTGCTGCCAAGCGAGAGTTATCTCTCACTGTGGACTTGATGGAGACTTGACTCACAAGGCTTCCCCCCCGCCTCCCCTTTTTTCTAGGGGCAAAAAAGCTTGTTTTTAAAAGGGACTTGGGACTTGAGACTTGGGTTCCAAACACTCAAGACTTGGGACTTGCACCCAAAGACTTGCCAAGCACCCCTAGACATCTCTGACCGAAAAGCAGCCCTGACCTAATTCTTCTTTCCCCTCCAAACAGGGCTGCACACCTCCCTCTTGGTGACTCAGAAGGACCGTTTGTGTCGCTTCATCGCTGACTCACATCAGAATGGGAACTCCTGACTAAAATAGGTCTTGTTTAAATGAGTGTGGCTGAATAATGCCCAAAAGTGCCTCTCCCTCCACCTCGTGGTGGCTGAGGCCCAGAAAGCAACCTGCGGGGGGAAAACAGCCTTGCCCCTTGCTATTTTTATTACCACTTTCCTGATTTGGGTGGCCGTTCCTTACTTAAAAAAGTGCCTCTCCCTCCACCTCGTGGTGGCCGAGGCCCAGAAAGCAACCTGGGAGTGGGGAGGAACAGCCTTGCCCCTTGCTAGTTTTATTACCACTTTCCTGATTCGGGTGGCAGTTCCGTACTTGAGGGACGTGGTGGCGCTGCGGGTTAAACTGCAGAAGCCTCTGGGCTGCAAAGTTGGAAGGCCAGCCATCGTAAGATTGAATCCACGCAATGGAGGGAGCTCCTGTCGCTTGTCCCAGCTCCTGCCGACCTAGCCGTTTGAAAGCATGTAAAAATACAAGTAAAAAGCATGTAAAAATGCGAGAAAGCATGTAAAAATGCAAGTCGATAAATAGGGACCACCTTGGTGGGAAGGTCATGGCGTTCCGTGTCTAGTTGCGCTGGCCACGTGACTACGGAAATGGTCTACGGACAAACGCTGGCTCTACGGCTTGGAGATGGGGATGAGCACCGCGCCTAATGTCAAGGGGAACCTTTACCTTTACCTCCTTACTAAAGGTTCCCAGTCCTCCTCTTGGAAACAACAGTTCCCAGCTGAGGCTGAGAGGGCAGAAGGATCAGAATCGTGTCACATAAGTCTGCTGGCTGAGCCCAAGGGTGTAAATTCCTGTAGTGGGTTGTTTGCCAGTCTGCTTGGCTTTCTTGTTGTGTGCCAAGTATCGCGGCTGGTGTGTGACCAGAAGTAGAAGCACCGACTTTGCTGGCCTTCCACAAGCAGTATCTTAGAGATGTAGAACTGAAAGGGAACCCTGTGGACCATCGGGTCCACTCCCTGTTAAGGAGGCACCGTGGGGGGATTCGAATTCCCAACCTCTGGCTCCACAACCAGAGACTTAAAACTCCTGAGCTGTCCAGCAGTTCATTTCCTTCAAGCTGGCTTTCCCTTTGTGACCGGCTGTTTGAGATGTTTTTTTTTAAAACAAAAGGATTTTTATTCTTTACTGCTTTGAATGTGTTTTGGGAGTTGGTTTTATTTACCATTTTAGGGTGGTATTTGTTCAGTCCTTTCAAAATATTTGTAGACCTACCATTTTTAGCTTTTTAAATATTGTCTTTTAAAGAGGCAAGGTGCCTCAGCTCCTCTTTGGGGAGAAAGCACGGTAGCGATATTTAAAATAAATGAAATGGAAATAAATTAACGGTTGGTAATGCACGGCAGCAATTCCCAGGGTTCGGTTTATGCTGGCCTGTGCCGTTCACAGGATTCTAGTCCCCTTGAAGGTTGTGATCTTTCAACGTCCCTCCGTCTGCCTGTCCTGGCATTGATCATCGGGATGGGGGGAGGCAGAAGGAGAAATAGCAACCTTTTCCCCCAGCAAGGAAGCTTTCAGCTGGAATAATTTTTTTTGTAGGGTCTTTTCCCTTTGGTGTGGATTTCCAGAAGCCTGAAGTCTATTTGAATCACACTGCAAACTTCTACTTGACCTCCGAGCCGGGCATCACTTTTGGCTTTTGGTGAGTATGCGGTCAGCCGTGGGGGCCGGAGGGTTCTCGGGGTCTGCAACAACCCCCTCCTCTCTCCCCCAAAAGTTACTTCCAAGCTTTGGTGTGAGCGTGCATGGCTGTCCTGTCGTTCTACGATCTTTGCTTGATCTGCCTTGCAAAGTTGCAAGCCAGCTGGCACAGCTTTGCTGCGGCCACTTTGATTTCTTTGCGCCATCTGTGTGTGCTGCAAATCTCTTGGTTTTTTTTTAAAAAGGCAATTGTCTTTGGACTTGGTCCTTCGCTTCCCTCCAACAGATGCAGTCTATCTCCTTTTCCATCATCAATGGCAAACCCTACTTTCTGGATGAAAAGCCCTGTCTTTCTCCTCCCCCCACCCCATCCCGCCTCTCCTCTTAGGCACGCTCTGCCTGACAATAGACGGAAAGAAGCAGAAGGGAAGGAGCGCAGCTGGTACGAAGAGGCCCTGGCAGATGATAATCCCATCATTGTCTATCTCCATGGCAATGGGGGCACCAGGTGAGTTCAATATTTGGAACTACAAAAGCAGGGCATGTTATTATTCTGGATGCCTTGTTTGGAGGAGGAAGGGGTGGCAGCTGGGCAGAGGGGGAGGAGAGAGATACGTATGTATTTATATGCACAAGGGCATGGCTGGAGTTCCTGTTTCTTCTTTTGATGCAAAAGATGCTCCAGGATCAGGTGAAGAAAGTTGCACCAGGGGATTGAGTTTGTAAGCTTACACATTGCATTCAGTTCCGTTCTTCCTTTTCAGCTCTTAGAGAGAAAGAACTCTGAAAAAAAAAGCCCTCCCCGCCCGCGCGTGTGTGTGTGTGTGTGTGTGTGTGTGTGTGTGTGTGTGTGTGTGTGTGTGTGAGAGAGAGAGAGAGAGAGAGAGAGAGAGAGAGAGAGAGAGAGATCTTCCTAAGAGCCCCATAGATCTCTAGGAGAAATCGGAAGCCTGTGTTTATCATGGCTGGCATTTGTTCCTTGAAAAGATTAATTCCCTTATAAGACTGGACAACCCTTTCCAATCATATAAAAAATTCATCTGGGTATTAAGTTAACATAAGTAGCTCCATTGTTGAAATGATTCCAGGCAACATTAGTGTGCCTTTTTCTATAACCTGTATTATTGGTGCATGGGAGTGCACCAATAAATATTGTGAGACAGCCCCATTCAGCATTCTATAAGCCAACTTAAAAAATAATAATAGGGGTGCCCCAAACAAAAAAATTGCAACTTTGAAATCAGCACCATATTTGGCACAGGTGTAGCAGACAGTTTGCTCTGGCTCTGTGCGGAATTTGCACAGTCCTAACAATAGATAGCTTGAGTGTCATCACAGTTGCCTTCATGGCCAGCATCACCTTCAAGTACCGCCGCTGCTCTTAAGAAGCTGAATTGTGAAAGATTTCCATCAGTTAACATCTGAGTGATTCCCTCATGGACACCGGTGATGATAGGCAGATGGGCTCCCTCCTCCATATGTATGGATAGAAACCGAGCAGGATTTGCTAAGGTGTGTGCCTGAAACTCTCAGAAATCCTTCTTTATCTGCAAACAAAGTAAAGTTGTTCCAAACAAAGTTCTTTATCTCCCCACTAAAGACCCCTCTTGCTGTTCTAGGATTATAAGAGAGCTCTCGTAGAAAACTCTGCCATGTGTGGATTACACTTCAAGGCGGACTGGCAAGTTTTGGCAGAGAAATTCGAAAACACAACCCCCATTCTTTCCAAAACTTTAAAGCTGCCCCACTGAGCTTTGGGACGAAGAAGAAAAGTTTCGTGGGAGCCAAGAGGTTTGTGTAGAATCAGGACTTCAACAAGGCTGATTATTTGGGAGCCTTGTGCGGTGAGACGGCTAGGGCATCACTTTGCCCGTTCATCTGAGCCGAAGGCCGGCGTGCTCTTTCATCGGCCTGGGATCCTGCCAGCCAGAGAGAGGCCGAGGCCAAGACTCTCTGGCTTTTGAACAATCCTGGCTTGGTTGCCAGGTTTAAGCAAGTTTAGTCCAGTCTGGGGAACAGCCCCTCCGCACACACACACACGCATCTTCTCATCCGAGAAGGGAGCTTCACCCAGATGGTGCCGGCTTCTGTGCACCTGTGGGCCTTCCTCGGTTCGGGATGACTTGGAGCAACACATGCATGTGACAGGTTTTGTAAAAAAGAGAAGAGGCGGTTAATTACCCTTTCGCCTGATGAGATGTTGCTGCAATGGCTGATGAAACCACACTTATCTCTGCTGTTATTTGTGCAACACAGAATGTATGTTTAGGTGTACTTGAATATTTATGATGTGCCGGCTTTGAGCAGGATCCTGTCTTTGCATAGAATGTGCTTCACCAGTGAGATGGTTTTTGTGGTCAGCCGGGCTGCTATAAAAGGCAGACTCAGCCGGGGGTCTGTCCAGACAGATGCAGACGAGTGTTAGTGATAGAGTTCGGTCAGGGACCCGTACAATACGTAGACGGATGGGCTGTCAGGGTCTCTCACTTTATATAACGGAGACACACGGACTGAAATGTAAAAATATGAATAATATGTACTAGGGCTCAATAAGTGCTACAAAGATAACAATACTATGAAATAACTATTTACCATTGATTGTCATACCAAACATACCAAGTAAAAACATATAAGAGACAAAATACCGTATTTTCCATGTATAAGACTATACTTCTGTCTAAAATCTTTAGACTAAAAATTGAGGGTTGTCTTATACACGGAAGAAAGCTGAGGAGAGAACAAAAACAAGTGGAGGGGAAAGCAGGGATCAAAGCTATCCTGCAGCGCTTTGATCCCTCCCCCCCCTTGTTAAGCCCCACTTAGATTTCTTAATTTTGAATTAGAGAAGTGGAGGGGCATCTTATACACGGAAAAATACGGTAACTAAGCACTATACTTATGTAGTTTATACATGGATGCACAAACATATAGATAGATATTGCTTATTTTATTTATTTATTTATTTATAGTCTACTCTGGACGGCAATATATAATATAGATACATAATATACATAATTATATATACATAACTGCGTATGTATGTATGTATGTATGTATGTATGTATGTATGCATGTATGTATGTATGTATGTATGTATGTATGTATGTATGTATAATCAGTAAAAGTTAATTATTTATAAGTCACTAGTGCTTATTTGAACTACAGTTGGTGGCACAAAGACATACGATACAACGTTTAACAATTCTTTAAATTGATGGTGTTTTTTTTTATTTATCAAAATGCAAGTCCTGGGAAATAAGTACTACAAAACCCATTAGGTTAAAATGTTTTCCTTTGGACTATCATAGGCAACATCCCTTTCCAGGCAGCATGATCATAGGTCATGCTAGCCAGGTGATTGTGGCATGCAAGTTAAACCGCTTTTAGGGGTCCATTTCAGTGATTCCTGCATCTGTACGAGGAGATTCTAGACCCACATTTCAGCAGCTGGCCAGGGAGCTTCCCTCGCCGCACCTTTGCGTAGGCATAAAATTGAGGCGATTGGGGTATATTTTTCGTTGGATCATTTTGTAAACCACCCAGAAAGGCTGTTGAAGGATTGTCTAGAAAGGGCAAAATTTTTAGAATAAATAAATGATGGCCTTCTCTCATGATTTCCACGCCACCCAAAGACGAGATCTCGGAACTTAGAAAATTAGTGGCATAACATGTCCCAGAATTCCCAGTAGATTCTGGGATTTGAAATCCAAAGGGGGAGTTTTACACATTGTGATTTAAAATGCATTCATTTCCCCCCTTCTCTGATGACCTTATGACGAAGGATGATGCATTTTTCCTTGCCGTCATTTCCCATCGAATCAAAAGCATCTAACTTCCAAACTCTCTTCCAGGGCGACGAGCCACAGAGTTCTTTTCACCAAGGTAGGTGTTCTCTCGGGCGCTTCAGCGCGTGTTTGAGTCTCCCGCTTTCACAAAAACCATCCTGTTTCTGCCCTGCTAAGAGATCAATTGGGAACCTTGCTTTTCAGGATGATGCCTTCCAGAACCCTCTCACCAACATGGCAGGGGCCATGTTGACTGTGGATTCTGGAAGTCGTAGTTCCCCCGAAAAGCAACATTTTCCCTGATAGTTATCACAGGCGTGGCTCTGACAAGGGCGGCTTTTGCTTGGTGCGAGTCCCTGTTTCGTGGCGGTCCATGTTTTGCCATGGTCCCAAGGCTGATTCCCCATCCTCTGGAGTCCCCCAGACACCCACGGGCCCCTCCTCTGTGGCAAAATCTGTTTGGTTTTGCAAACATTGGTACATTTTCCAATGTACTAGATAGAGAACCAAGGTATTTTGAAGGGTGGATCAAGTGAGTTCTGCTTTCTCAGAGTCCCCAAATCCAAAACATTAAAGTCCAGGCCTTACAAAATCTGGAGGTTTGAATTTCCTTAGATCAGGGGGGGTAACTTAGCTCTGCCCCCAGAGCTAAGTTACCGCCCTGTAATTTGGTTTACAAATTTGAAAACACTAAAACCAAAAAGTCCAAGATGGCGAAATTTAAATAGTTAAGATATGGCAGGAGGGAATCCATCAATCAGTCAATCACTCAGTCAAGGGAAGAAAGCGACAACAGAGTTGCGGGGAAGAGTTTTGCTCTAGCAGTGTTCGCCCCCCTCCCCGTGGGTTCGATCATGCCCAAGTAGGGCCCTGAACCAACATTTCCCACATCCCTTTAACGAACAGGACTGAAATCTCCGACCGTCCTGCAGATTTTCATTCTGGTAAGAACTTGGAAACGTTGGTCTCATCCAGGACCGTTTTTTGTCTGCTGCTGTTCTCTTTTGCCCCGGAGCATCTGATCAGGGTTCCTGCAAAAGTTTCCCTTCAGGAAACAACAGTCCTTCACATTTTTTGTGGACAATTGACCGCTATCAAAGCTTGTCACCAGAGTTGGTCACCCGGGTGCTTCAGGAACATCTCTGGGCAACTGACGGGGACTCTTTTGAAGAAGCGAAAGAGTGTTGTTCTCTATTTTATATTTCTTAGCAGCTATAAATGAATGGCACATGCCAGGCGGGGCTACCTGGATGCTGGTTCTTTGCTTTCGCTTGTTGACGTCCTTTCTGAAGAAAGGAAAAGCTTTATAAGTGTGAAATTAATTCGTACAATCCAAACCAAATTTCTTGAACAGGTGATGAGCGATGGTGGCTTTCACGTCCTGGCCGTCGACTACAGGGGTAAGTCTCATGGCAAGGAAAAAAAAGAAAAGGGTTAGATCAGCCATGGGCCAGGGTGGCTGAGGATGATGGGCAGCCCTCGTTCCGGGAAGGCTGTGGTTTGGCTCTGACGTGTGAACCGATTGCCCCCAGGTTACGCGGACTCCACAGGCCAGCCGAGCGAGGACGGCTTCACGACGGATGTTCTCTGCGTTTACAAGTGGGTGAAGGCCCGGAGCGGGAACAGCACCGTCATCTTGTGGGGACACTCTCTCGGCACTGGGTACGTTTGGTCTTCTCGGCCCTCGTGAAATACAAAAGGGTTTCCTTTTTCAACGGCTGTCCTCAAAGACAGATACGCAACCTGTTGTCGTCCTTCTGTGCCATCTAGTTCCCTCAGACTGAAGGGGACCTTATGAATTCGAGACTGCCAAAGGATCCTGTCATTAGGCCTTGCCAACTCGAGGCCATGGCATCCTTACAGAGTCAATCCATTTCATATATGATCTTCCTCTCTTCCTACTGCCTTCAATATTTCCTAGCGTTATTGCCCTTTCCAGCGAGTCTTGTCTTATAACGTACCCAAAGTACAACAACCTCAGTTTAAAGCCATAATTTGACTTAGAACCTGCTTATTTTTCTGTGGAGTTACTCAATTTCACACTAAAAGTACTTTAAAAGCTGTGGAATCCTTTGTTTCAATCCTACAGTTGTGTTATAGTCCAGATTTCTCTGCAGCTCCATCCTTCCTTCTTATGGATGGTCTCTCCTCCTCTTCACCCCTTTTTCATCCCTTGATCTGCGTCCTTGCAAGAGAACTTGGAGAGATATGATTATGTGTGTAAGAGGGTGGGGTTATTAGACTACAATTCCCAGAATCCCCCAGCTAGCATAACCATTTGCTCTGCTGGTTTCTTAGCCCCATGGTACCTCAACCACTGAGTTATCCAGCCAGCAGATCCAAGGAAAACTATCCCCATTTGTAAGCAATCCAAAAAGAGATCCAATACAGGAACATAAAAAAATTAGGAAAGACATTTAGTGAATTGTATAAAGAGTTCTTTATAGAAGACCCTAAATGGCTTTCCTGTTTTTTAATATTACTTTTTGGTTGCATATAACTGGGATAAGTTTCCTTATGTTTTTTTCCTCTGTAGAAGATTAGCCCTAAGTTTTGAATCCTTATTAAATTCCTATTACTTTTGCTTCAGATACAGCATTACTCTAATAAACTTGTCCAATTCTTCTAGTTTTCCTCTTTGATGTAGTCATGTAGTCAACAGGCTCCCTGTTCTTTTATGTTGCTGTTCCAAGATCTTTGATTTCTTGAATATCTCCACCTTTTCCTTTTGCAATTTTGTGTGTGTGTGTGTATACGCTGATATGCTAATACATGTTCCCGTTATGACTCATTTCAATGCATCCCAAATGACAGCTTGCGGTAGACATTCCTTGACCTGCCAATGCAAATATATTGTTGCATTCCTCTTCAGAGTACTTTCAGAGGTTGATTGAGAAAGTAGTTGAAGTATAACCCCATCACGTTAGGTGTGGCTTCTCAGCATAATCATTGCCTTCTGTCATTTGATCTTGACAGTTGCTTGTCAAGTAATTAGAGGTTGTGCTTGCCTCACGTGATGGTGGCGGACAAGCTGTATAAACCATGTGAACATCAAGGCCCTAGTTCTTATGGAGGCTGTGGGCGTCTCATTGGGTTATCAGCAGACAGTTGCTTGTCAAGTAATTAGAGGTTGTCCTTGCCTCACGTGATGGTGGTGGGCAAGCTGTAAAAGCCATGTGAACATCAAGGCCCTAGTTCTCATGGAGGCTGTGGGTGTCTCATTGGCAGAGAATTCACACGGCAGAGAATTAACCAACCAAATATCCGGCCAGCTAATCCGTCTATCCACCCATCCTTGCACAAATCAATCAATCAATCAATCAATCAATCAATCAATCAATCAATCAATCAATCAATCAATCAAACAAACAAACAAACAAACAAACAAACAAACAAACAAACAAACAAATAGATAAAGCCAAGTAGAATCTCAAGGAGGAGAAATGCTTCTTAAGGGGGTCTCTATGCAAGACCAAGGCATGTTGGCTTTCAGTTTTTTGACCGTAACAACCAGAATCCCCTGGCTGGGGGGGTTATGGGAGTTGTAGTCTGAAACCACAAGTGGTTCTGGCCTCTATGAGGTTCTGTTCCATCGTACACCTACAATCTAAAATGTTTATAGCTTGAACAGGTATTTGATACTTGGTGCGGGAAGACCCAGTTTCTCCGCAGCCCACCTTTCGCACCCGTGACAGCCTAACCTTCCTGTTTCTTAATTCTTCCTAGGATCGCCACCAACACGGCCAGGCATCTGCAAGAGAAAGGTAACACCGACCTCTGTGTGCAGACTCCCATCTTTCCACCAGTCCGCCTACTGGTGTAGCAAGGGTTGCTTCCTTGAGCCATTTGTGCGGGTCAGGCTGGAAGTTGAGCTTGGAAACCTTACTTTTTTGGACCACCGCCTACCCCATATCCTCCAGGGGCCCCGGGGACTGGACCTGGTGGTTGGGGGATGCTGGGCATTGTAGCCCATGGATGCAGAGGTCCCTGGCTTTGGATGGAACGGCTAAGAAAAGGGAGATGGCCAGTAAGAAGGCCTGCCTTGCTTCCTAGATAAAGCCTTTGTTTCTGTCGGCCCCTAGTCCTCATTGGGTTTTGAGATGCTCCTCCCTGTTGCCCCCGTGGAGTAGGAAGAGGGGGGCAGGCGGAAAGATCCTCTCCCGGTCTCCCACCCCACCCACTCCAGCACCCACTTCTCAATCATCATCACGGGCTGATTTTTACCCTTCCGTTTGGAGTGGGCAGAGGTGTTTCCTTCTCGATCTTGCTAGACTACAACTCCCATCAGCCTGTGCCAGCATAGCCAGTGTGGAAACCACGTGGACTTTGCCATCCGTCGCCGAGCTGACATGTACTTTGCCATCCGAAGGACCTTCCTTTCCCCGTCCTTCGTTTAGAGGGATGGTTTAGACGAGAACCGGAGCGGATTAAAACCATGCCCGCCGCCGCCCTGAGCACCCAGGAAAGCCGGGAATCACCCAATATTCTCTGCCACAAAATTCTGCTCTGGGCTGTTGGAGGCTTTTTTGGTGACAATTAGAGCCGGTTTTCTGGATTTCCCTCTGCACTCATCTCAGCGTTGTCTTCAAAGGCTGAGTCGATGCAGCTGAACCTGCCAGCACCTGCCTTTGCCCCAGGACAGAGGATCCCGTTTCGCCGGTTCTTGCATGAGTCCCTCGGCAATTTGGTGGCACAGAGAGTCAAGGCCTTGCCTGTGCGCGTTGCCACCGGGGTTTTCATACCGGCTTAACTCTCTACATCTCTCTCCTCTACAGATGGGGTAACGGTGGACGCCATTGTCCTGGAGGCGCCTTACACCAACATCCGAGACGCCGCGGCCCACATCCCGATCACCAAAGTGAGCTTTTCTGGGGCTCTGGTGGGGCTCGAAGGTCCATCTCCGGGGTCTGTCGCTCCAAACGCTGGCTCAGCGCCTCTGAAAATCCAAGCACAATGTGGCTTGCGAGCGCTTGGAGGCGCAGGGAACTGGGAGGGATCTAATCGGCCAGCCGCAGACTTGTGTGGTTTGGCTGTGTGCGTAAGAGAGCAATGGGCAGCAGGCCACAACTAGAGTAGGCCTATTGGAATGAGTGGAATGTCCGGAGGAGTCAACTCACCTGATCCCCAAACCAATTATTCAGAGTGGAATGTCCGGAGGAGTCAACTCACCCGATCCCCACGGATTCAGTGGACATGGTTCTAGTTGCAACTTGTTACACAAAACAACAGGATTTCAGCCCTACAGTGGTAGACAGAGATATAGGCCCCTTCCCTTTTTAAACCAATTATTTATACACCGTATTCGCGAAGGCTTTCATGGCTGGGATCTAATGGTTGTTGTGGGTTTTTCAGGCTCTTTGGCCGTGTTCTGAAGGTTGTTCTTCCTAACGTTTCACCAGTCTCTGTAGCCATGGACATCTTCAGAGGACAGCACTCTGTGCTCTGGTGTAGTTGGCTTTGGGAGTTGAGTATTTATGGCTGTGAGATGGGCTTTTGTCTTCTTCTTTCACCCATTTACAGAAAAAGACAAAAGCCCATCTCACAAGACCAGATTACAATGTGAACATTTGAAGATGCCTTTGTGGGACACAAACTTTGTCTCAAGAGCTGTGATAAAATGGAAGGAATTGGGCTCCTATGTCCTAGTATTTTCAAATAAGAGATATTATACATTTATTTTTGTAAATGTATGAGAAAAAGAATTCTTTGTCCATATTTGTTAACTTGGAAGTATTTTGTAGAGAAAGTGGATTTACTCTTAAAATGTTATGTGATAGAATTCAGCTATAGACCCCCCCGTGAACTGGGTACTCAGATTACCCTCCTCAGAAGAATGGAAGCCTGCGTCAACCTTGAGCTAGTTACCTGAATCCACTGGGATCAAACCCGGGGTGTGAGCAGAGTCTTAGCAGCAGTACTGCAGTTTAACCACCCACGAGGCTCCCTCATTCTTTATTGCAGCTCATGCACTTAGACCCAGCTACCTCAGGAGGTGTTTCTTCTGCAGTGGAAAAAAGGAGACCGACTTGGTGGATGGCAAGAGTGCTGTGTTTTTGGCCACGTCGTCCTCTTCTCCTTTATGTCGTAGAAAACAAAGTTGATGTTGAGTTTTCCATGCTAACTTATTGACTGTAGCAATTTCACAGTGGAATTTCCACACAGCCCAGTTCTTTCTTTCTCTCTCTCTGTTTCTGCCCCTTGAACTAGATCTATCGCAAGTTTCCTGGCTTTGAGTCTCTGATCTTGGACACGATGGCCCGAGCTGACATGCACTTTCTAAACGACAAAAAGTGAGTGTTGGCTTAATGGATCTTGCAAAAGGGACTGGCTTGGGGCTCATCCCTTATCATCCCCTGTCCGCGCTTAAGGGCAGGGTGGGTGCCCTGCCTTGCACGGCGGTGTCTCATTACAACAGAGTTTATAAGGGAACCAAATTCGGGCACGGGTGGGTGAGTGGGAGGCCCGGTTGGTTCCCAGCCCTGTTGACGCTGGATGGCCTCATTACATGCCGTCCAGTTGCTTTCCAGTTACAGAGTTCCGAACTGGGTTTTAAAGGCAGGTTTCGGTCTCTGGCTGCAGAGCGGGGAGTTGGGAGTTCAATTCCCCACAGGGTGGCCCAGGGAGACCAGCCAGCCTGTGTGGCCTTGGGCAAGCTGCCCAGTCCTGGGACGTTCCCTGCCCCTGCCCCCTGAAAAAAGGGTTGCGCGTGTGACAAACCCAGACCTACTGGGATCTGCCACACGTTAACTAAGCTGCCACCAACCATTCCCTATAAGAAGTCACACAGACCAGGGATGGATTTTCAGGGATTGACTTGATGGCACATCATCATCATCATTATTAAGATATACAAGTCCAAGTTGGTGTCATGGATAAAGGAATGGCTTAGGACTCAAGAGACCCGCGTTCAATTCCTCACTCAGCTATGGAAACTCATTAGGGGTGTGAAACTGGTAAAAAAAAGAGAAACTTTATAGGGTTTCACATTTCTCTGCAACCTCCCGACTCCCCATCCTTGGCCATATAGGAACCCCGAGTTTCAAATGAAGGCGATGAGGGAGGGGAAAAGGCTGAATACCTGGCAGCCTTTGGTTCGGGGAGTTGGGAGGGGGAATCCAACCAGCGCCCCCCCAGGAGAGGAAGGTGAAACCGACACTCCCGAGGGGTGTTTGCAAGCCTGCATTATCAGAGCATGCCTGTAAGGAACAGACAAGAACATGGCAAGGACATCAGCCGCAACTTCTGGGACTTTCGTATACTCCCCCCCCCCACACCACCCACAATGGATTGGTGCACAGCCTGAGAATGACTAGCATCGGTTGAAATTTTGGGGGGAGGTAAAGGAGAGGAAGGTGAAACCGACACTCCCGAAGGGTGTTTGTAAGCCTGCATTATTGGAGCTCACCTTTAAGGAACAGACCAGAACATGGCAAGGACATCAGCCGCGACTTCTGGGACTTTTGTATGTCCCCCCCCCCGCACCACCCACAATGGTTGAAATTTTTGGGGGAGGTAAGACGTGGTGGCGCTGTGGACTAAACCACAGAAGCCTGTGTGCTCCAAGGTCAGAAGACCAGCCGTCATAAGATCGAATCCACGCGACGGGGTGAGCTCCCGTCGCTTCTCCCAGCTCCTGCCAACCTAGCTGTTCAAAAGCATGTAAAAATGCAAGTAGTTAAATAGGCACCTCCTCGGTGGGAAGGTAACAGCGTTCCGTGTCTAAGTCGCACTGGCCATGTGACCACGGAAAGTGTCTACGGACAAACGCTGGCTCTATGGCTTGGAAACGGGGATGAGCACCGGGCCCTAGAATCGGACACAACTGGACAAAAATTGTCAAGGGGAACCTTTACCTTTTACCTAAGACTGTTTTAGTGCTCCCATAAAAGCCCCACCTTGGCTTTGCTTCTGCATTGTAAGGACCACATAGCTCGGTTGGATAAAAGCCCCACCTTGGCTTTGCTTCTGCCTTGTAAGGACCACATTTCTAAATATAATTGCTATGACGTGTTTCGGCAGCCATGGTTTAAATGAAAGGCAAAACACGGATAGATGGGCCCTTTCTAACTGGAAGCACGTTAGATGTTTAAATGCTTTGTGTACTTTCTTGTGTTTTATTTTCCTGTGTTTGTTTTTACATTAATGCAGATGCTTTGGTTTATTTTGAAGGGTTCAATGTTTTATTGATTGTTCACAGTCCCTGTTGTGAACTGCCCAGAGTGGGTGGTCTAGAAATCAAATAAATTGATAGCCACCAATCAATTCTTTACCCCAACCTTTTTTCCCATCCTCAGTGTGCAAGTGCTGTCCAGCCCTCTGTTAATCTTGCATTCGGAAGACGATGGCGTTGTACCTGCACACCTGGGAAGAAAGGTAAGGCTGACCGTATTTCTGTGCTTTAAAACGGCAGAAGATGGGAGGGAAAGCCGCTGCAGGTGGAAAGGGGGAAGGAGGGAGGGAGGGGGTGCCTTCCTTCTGCTAATCTCCTCTCCTTCCCTTGGAGGAATGAACTTCCTGACAGTCAGGATCTTTTCCCCCTACTTCCATGGCCGTGTGGAAGACCAGCCTCCCCACCCCCACCCCCACTTTCTATAATCCCTTTGTTCATAAGGAACCCCATGCTTCCTGATGGCATTTCCCCATTCATTTTTATTTATGTTTAAATCATCAAGGTACAAAAGGGTGTGTGTGATCATACAACTAGATGAAAGCCCTGGAAACCAACCCTCCAAATTCAAAAGAGAAGGGGAGGTGCACAAATAATGCAATTATGAGAATTTATTATTAATTTTTTTAAGGGAGGAAAATTCCCGGTATACGTGGATGGCTTGCTGGACATCCGTGTGGCACTGCAGTGTAGCTACAGTAGGACCCCCCTCCCCAAATCAGTTCCAAGCCCCCCCAATGGTGAAAAACATGGATTAGAGCAGGGGGGTCCAACCTTTCACCTTCCCTGGGCCACATTAGAAGATGAAAATTTGGTTTGGGCCGCATGGGGGGGCAGCCCTAGCCGTCCTCCGCGGCCCCGCTCCAAGCGCGCTTACCGGCAGCTGCGATCTCAGACAGCAGAGGCTGCCAGCTTCGACTCTGGCGGCTTTATGGGGCCAGGAGGGGGTCCACCAATTGACGGGGATGGCGCAATGCAGTCACCTCTCCCCTCCCCTGTCCCACTCCTTCCTTCCTTCCCTTTCTCCTTTCTTCCTTCCCTACCGTTGTGACGTGCCCCAGCCACATTTCGGCCGCAAGTGCCGGTAGTGTAACTTGAAACTCTGGAATTTCTTTAAAAATAAAAAATTGCACTGGATCGCATTACAAGCTGATCTGGGTCGCAGGTTGGACAAGCCTGGATTACGGTGAACACTCCTGGGCCGCAGGTTGGACAAGCCTGGATTACAATGAACACTATTTTAATGGTGAACCCTATGCATAGCATGGTCTCTGGCTCCCACTTATGGCCAGTTTTGGTAACTTCCAGTTTAGAAATATATAGTTCAAGGATTTTCCTTTTAATATTTCCAGACCCTTGGTAAGTGAATCAGCCGATTCAGATTGTGGAGATACGGGTATCCTACTGTACTGCATATTCAAACACTGAAGAGTTTATAAGGTGCTCAGTCCACTAAGGCAGTGGTCCCCAACTTTGGGCCTCCAGATGTTCTTGGACTTCAACTTCCAGAAATCCTGGCCAGCAGAGGTGGTGGTGGAGGCTTCTGGGAGTTGTAGTCCAAGAGCATCTGGAGGCCGAGGTTGGGGACCACTGCACTAAGGGATGAGGGGGGGTTGTCATTGGTCCATCCAACTGTTGCACCATCACACCCTACGGGTGTGGATTTTTTTTCCTACTGGCCATCGGCTAACTCCTGTGAGACCAAATCAGTTGGGGTGTAAAGTCCTTTCCACTTCCCTCCTGCCTGTGGGCTCCCTCACCACGGGAAGATGATGCTAGGCTAAAGATGTAGTTGCTGACCTTGAGCCAGACATCCTGGAGAGCGACATCCTTAAAGAGGCCCTGGTCTAATCCAGCCACATGCTGGCTGTTCTTCTGAAAGGGAGGGGATGGCATAGACCCCCGTCGCTGTTTACAAACAGTCCTTGTTTGGTGGTCAGGATCACCCCCCTGGCCCTGGACGCGTCTCTCTTCCCAAGCACCTACTCAAGCCAAAATCAAGGAGCAGATAAGCCAAACCCTTCAATGACGTTTCGAATGCTCAGGGCCTTGCACTTGATGTTAACACAGCCGCCTTCCTGAATGCACAGGGCAACCTGCTTTTAAAATTATTATTAGACGGTCCCGAGGTGCTCATTTGGAGGACACGTGTGACGGTGCTGCTGTTTCGAGCGGCAGCCCTCGAGCTGATGGAAAAAATGGGAGACGTGGCATGGATGTTTCACCCTGGTTAAAAAAAAGAGGGCATTTTGAACAGTGTGAAGAGGACTGTGGCTGCATGGGGGAGCCGTGGGAGGGTGGGGTGGGAAGGAGGGTGTCCCAAACCCCATCTGCAGGGTGCTGGTTGGGGGAAGCGTGGGACGGGCCAGGCCAGGTTCAGTGAGGCCATGCGGAGTTGGCAGAAGCTGCAGCTCTGGCGATCAGGTCAGGATATGTGCCTGTCAGGATCTGACATATAGTGTTTCTCTCTCCCTCACCCCAATTCCTTCCCCACAGCTCTATGAGATTGCACAGGCGGCTTCTGCAAGGAAAGAGCACGTCCAGTTTATGGCCTTCCCTGCGTCCATGGGCTTAGGCCACGAGCACATCGCTACTCACCCCGATCTCCCGCTGATTTTAAAGTAAGCCTTGTGAACGCAATACACTAGCATCTGTGGGGGAGCTCGGAATCCCTCCCCAGCAAATATGGGGTCCCGCTGTGCAAGATTTGAGCTTTGGGATACCCCATGTGCAGTAGAGGTGCAGTTTGGTGGGTGGGATCCGAGTGGCCCAATGAGGGGAAATCCACCATTAACAAGTCTGCCCTGCGCTTTTGAGACCGGACCGTGGTCCTCTTTCCCTCCCTCCCGAGCCGTTGAAGCATCCAAGAAAATGCAAAGCCCAACTTCTGCAAAATGATTAGATCCAAAAAAAAGATTAAAGCCTCCATGCTCTGCTCTGAATGTCACATCAGTGGCGAAGGACACGGGTGTCTAGCGGCGGCTTACCTCTTCCCAGTTTAAAACACAGCTGTCGCTTCTTGACAGGGAGGAATGCGGAATATGCCCTCGCAGCCTTCAAAGAAGCAGGATCCAAATATCCTCCTGGCATAGACTCGAAAAGTAGCCACACAGAGGAGCAGGATCTGTTCACAATCATCCCAGAGTGCAGGACATGCAAGCACGGGCTCAAGTTAAAAGAAGCCAGATTTAGTTTAAATACCAGGAAAAAACTTCTTAACTGTTAGAGCAGTACAGCAACGGAACCCACAACCTTGGGAGCTTCTTAACTGTTAGAGCAGTACAGCAATGGAAACCACGACTTGGGAAGTGGGGAGGGCTCCCAACAGTGGAGGCATGCAAAAGAAAGTTAGACGATCATTGGTCAGATATATAGTGGTGTGGCATGCAAAAGAAAGTTAGACGATCATTGGTCAGATATACAGTGGTTAATTCGTTCCAGCGAAAAACCCATTGAAACGCATTGAAAACTGTTCAATGCATTCCAATGGGCTGAATACCTCCTCGTCCAGCGAAGATCCTCCATACAGCGGCCATTTTTGGTGCCTGTAAAACGAGGAATCCGTCCTAGAAAACAGCGGGGGTTATTTGCTTCAGCCGGTAGCCATTTTGAAACCCGACGATCAGCTGTTTGCTGATCATCGTAAAGCAAAAATCAGTTCCTGAAGCAGGGAACCTATCATCGCATAGCAAAAAAACCCCATTTAAAACATCGTTTTGCGATCGCAAAAACATCAACGTAACGCAGATTTGTCGTAGAGCAGTGTAATCGTCCAGCGGGGCACGATTGTACTTTAATGTGGTTTACATCAACGTAAAGCGGATTTGTCATAGAGCTGTGTAATCGTCCAGCGTACGACTGTACTTTAATGTGGTTTGCTGCACTGAGTAGAGGGTTGGACTTCATAGCTTTGTTGGCCCCTTCCAATTCAATGATTCTGCAATTTGTTCTGCAACTAGCATGGCAGTAGTCCTTCAGTGAACCCCCCCCAACAATGCTTACATCAAGGGAGATTTCTCCTGCTGCACCCCAAAATCTCCAAACACGAACATTCATCTCCCTTTTTTTCCCTTCCCACAGAAAGTTCCTCGAGAGCATTAAATGACCAGCTGCCGCCCATCAAGAGTCCAGGCCTTCAAGAAGAGTTCCTTCTTTAGGCTGCAGAGAGTCCCCCACCTCCCCGAGAATAAAACAAACGCTGAAAAAAGTGTGCATTTGATTTTATTGCATCGTGCAAATTCTCTGGAATGTCTGAGTGGACAGGGGAGGACAGTGCAAAAGACACGCTCGTGGCTTCCTTTGTACAATCGCAGATAAACCTTGGAGAGAGAAATATTTCTTTTTCAATAAGCGCTAAGGGAGCATAACACTCGCGGGGTCCCCAATCTTGCTAAGCGAACGGAAAGCGGCCGAGCACACCCGAAGAGCAACTCATCTCAAGGGCACCAAAAACTTAGCACCTGTGAGATACCACTGAGGTATCGATTTTAAAGCACTTTGGTCCGGCTCTCTCGAACAGGTTTAAGGTCTCAGCAAAGCTCCTACGCTAACCTCCAGAGGCAGGATCCTTCCCCATCCGACGCCAGGGAGACACTTGAAGGGTGGTGCGCCCGGGTTGCTTTAATGCTTACGAGGAGCATCACCAGTGGGAGATGCAGATTCCCAGCACCTCGGGGAGGGGGAGGAAGTCACAACAGTTCAGTTTTTTTAAAAAAAAATTGCACCTATCCTACCTGATTTGCACTTTTCGGAGAGTTCACAAAGTACTCGGATCCGTCTCGCTATTTAAAAGCTGGGCGGGGAGGGGGGAGAGAGAAAAACCGCCCTTTGATTTTTAGACTACTGTTATTTGCTAGACAGTGATGGGGCTGCAGTTCCCATCACACATACAGTGCAGCGCACTAAAGGAAAACTTTAGTTTGAAAGATTCACACGTGCATCTTGTCCGCCATCTCATTGGCCAGCATCTCGTCAGCGACATCCCGGGGGACATTGGGGGGCGGGATCTTCAGGTCCGAAGGCTCCACCTTCCAGATGTCCCGGGCATACTCCTTGATGGTCCGGTCGCTGGAGAACTTTCCAGAAGCGGCAATGTTTCGAATCACCATTTTGGTCCACTCCTTGGAGTTCTGGAAAGAAAGAAACAAAGAAAAAAAAACCCCCAAAAGAACTTTACTTTTGAAATCTGGAAGGTTTTATCATCATGTACAAAGTTCTTTTTGACTGTTATAGTAAGACCCCCCCTTATCCACAGAATCGGTATCCACTAATTCACTTATTCAGTCTGAAAATATTAAAAATATTTTTTAAAAAATCCACATACTGTATTTTCCCATGTATAAGACGCCCCCACTTTTCTAAACCAAATCTAAGTGGGGCTTAGCAAGCGCAGGGGGAAAGGGATCAAAGCACTGAAATATCACTTTGATCCCTGCTTTTCCCCTCCCCTTGTTTTTTCTCTTCACAGCTTACTTCCATGTATAAGGTAAAAGGTAAAGGTTCCCCTTGACAATTTTTGTCCAGTCGTGTTCGACTCTAGGGGGCGGTGCTCATCTCCGTTTCCAAGCCATAGAGCCAGCGTTTTGTCCGAAGACAATCTTCCGTGGTCACATGGCCAGTGCGGCTTAGACACGGAACACTGTTTACCTTCCCACCGAAGTGGTTCCTATTGATCTACTCGCATTTGCATGCTTTCGAACCGCTAGGTTGGCGGGAGCTCGGACAAGCGACGGGAGCTCACTCCATCATGTGGATTCGATCTTACGACTGCTTGGGTCTTTTGATCCTGTAGCACAGGCTTCTGTGGTTTAGCCTGCAGCGCCACCACGTCCCTCCATGTATAAGACGACCCTCAATTTTTAGTCTAAAGATTTTAGACAAAATATAGACTTATACATGGAAAAATACAGTATATGGACGAAGTAACCAGAACTAGCCATGAGAGGGAGTCAGAGACCATGCTATGGCTACAGTGCTTAAAAAGATGTTCTTCCAGGCACTGAGTAGAAGATCCTTACTGGAGGTGGTGGTGGTGGTGGGGGCTTAGGTTTGCTCCACACACAGACACAGCTGAGAGGCATGGCAACGGATGGGACTTAAACCCCATTGATAAGAGTCCAACGAAGCTTGGATCCAATCATTTGTCTGAGCTTTTCCAAATCTTTAAAGCGGATCTCAAAATGGAAGGATGGAGCAGAGGGTTCTCCTGGCCTCCCAAGATGGAAATAAGGCTAGAAAAGGCTAAAAAGGCTGATGGAACATTTCTCTCAACTTTTAAACATACCTTTCCAGGAAGGCCACAAATCCCCCCCTCGGCCCCATCAAACTACAAGTTAATGAACAGAGAGTTGCAGAAGGCAAAACGCAGGAGTCAAAAGTTTGTGGCAGGAGAAATGGTGCGTAGATTAGACACAATGTTGGAAAGTGAGCATCTCCAGGTCGGGAGTAGCCCATGTTCTGGGCACGGGGCTGCATCCACCTCTCCCAGACCCCTGGGCTCGAGGGAAGGCAGGCCGGTAACCCCCTAAACGCTGGCAGGGCAAGAACGAAAAAGAGGCCATCTTTCTTTACAGTGAAGGCAGGCCGGTAACCCCCTAAACGCTGTCAGGGTAAGAACGAAAAAGAGGCCATCTTTGTTTACAATGAGAGTCCGTGTTTGTGTGTGTGTGTCTTGTGTGTGTGTGTGTAGGGGGGAGCGGAATAGGTAAGGCACCTTGCTCTCAAGCTTCAAGACTCCGAGGAGCACCACCGGGCTTAAAGACCAGCCACCGCGTGGCCCACAACTGCTCTCAACAGCAACCCATTGTTCTGCGTGTCTGGGGAGCAGGCTCAGAGCGCTGGAAATAATGAGGCTTCAACCATTTCCCCGAAGAAAACAGCTGGTCGTATTTTGTAAAGGGGCAAAGCACCCGTCCAAATGGGCCAGAGGTCTCCCCACCTCTGCAGGAGGCCAGAGGCACCCCGATCGCAGCTCTGGGGGAAAAGACGAGGGGATACAGTTCAGTGGCCAAAGTGTGGCTTTTGCATGCTCAAGATGGCCAAGGATGCTGTTTCAAACCTGAAGGAAGCCCACTGCTGCCAGTCAGAGTCGGGATCTGTGGGGTTGGCAGACTTGGGATGAGAGAGTTTCATAAGAGCAACTGGAAATCTACTAACCAGCGACATGGGAGACGGAACGCTTGAACTGGTGGCACGCGCTGCAAAAAAGTTGCAGTATTCTTGGCCGGTCGAATCTTCCCCAGGCTTCCGCCGGCTGCCCCAACCTGGACGGCCACCCCCTTCCCAAGGCCAAACCAACAGCTCCCCCCACAGCTTACCATGTACAGCTGGCTGACTTTCTCTTGACACTTGACATACGCTTCGTAGTCGGCAAAGACTTTAAACCTGTGGATCGGCAAGAAGCCCGAGCAAGCGTGGGTTAAAGAGGGGGCACACGCTGAGGACCGGAGGCTTTTATCTCTGGTATCTCCCCGCCACCCCACAAAAATCGGCTCCTCCGAAGATCACTTCAGTGCCTCCCCGGGTGGATCTGGCCGACCTCCACAAGGTCAAGGCAAGATGGCCGGTCAGAGGTCGCCAGGAAATGTGCAACTGTGAGCCCGTAATGGCTCCAGGGGTCTCCTGACCAAAACACCATTTTGTGCTTGTCCGTCAATAGTAGTCCAGATAGGCAGGGTAAAAATTAAATGAATGAATGAATGAATGAATGAATGAATGAATGAATGAATGACATCTCAAGAATGGCAGACTGGCATTTTAACGAATGATCCCACCAAGTTGGGTGGGAACATCCATCAACGCCCTCTGTCTTCCACCTAATTGGTAGGATTGCGCAGCCCAGGCTTGCACCAGAGTAGGACCAAGCACTGAAGTCACGGCCCTGGGTGTGAGGGTCCAGAGCCCACCCTCCATGGACTTACACCCACCCACTGTACCCCATTTGCCAGGTTTCCAGGACCGGCCAAGCCAAGTGGAGGGAAGTCCCATTCCACCAGACCTTCTGCACATGTGGGCATCCGGATCCAACCAGCGGAAAACACTGGCAGAGCCAAAGGCCAGGCCACGAAGCCTTGACCAAGCCAGGCCAGGCACTGTGGGCGGGCAATCCGCACCCGGGCCCACCTAAACTACAACTGCAGCGTCCCCCGCCTTCAGCTCACCGGTCATTGAAGAATAACATGTTGATCACATCTCGGAACAGGTCCGGTTCTTTGGGGGAAAAGAAGCCACTCCGGATCTGGTCAATCACCTGCTTCAGCTCCGGAAGCCGGTCGTAATACTCTTGAGCAACATACCTGCACGGCAGGCGGGGGCAGGGAGGAAGGGGGCACAAATCAACATGTGCTGGAAATCTTACTTCTCCAGGTTACAACGACAGCTGAGCCTTGTAGTCCGAAAAAAGTAACGCTTCAAGACTTCTGCCTAAGACGACTTACATGGCTACAATTACAGATGGGCACGAATCGCTGTTTGGTGAGGTTCGTTTACCCACCATACAGCTGATCTATAGTCTGACACCCTGCGCACACACACACCCCGTGGGGGGCACCCCCAGCCCTTTTCACACTTTTACAAGGGTTTTTTAAGACATCATTTGGAATCAGAGCAAAGAAGAGGCACCATTGACAGGTTTCAGCTTCCAGAACGTTCCAGTGAATTATGTCCAGTGGGCACGATAGTTTGAAAGGGGTACTTTTTCTGAGCTCCCTTTGAAATAGGTCTCTCGAAGACTTAAGACTTCCAAATATTTATTTGCAAACTATAAACTACAGAACTCTTTTTAATCAGCCATCCAACTCCCGGTGCTAAGAGATCCTTGTTCGGTCATAATAATATTGTGTTTAAGTTTTAACTTCCCTTCAATGCAAAGGAGGACACGGTCCTAAATAAACAGGTGGAGGCTGTTGGGAAATTCCACTCCCAAAATAATTTAACAATGTGCTAGAGTAATAAATCTGACACTAATAAAACCATCGCATTGCATTAATAAGCATTGTTTTTTTACTGCCTAGTGGAACGCTCTCCTTTGTGAGGTGAGGTCAGGCTTCGCTCTCTCTCCTCTCCTTTCTGTGACAAGCGAACACTTTTCAGAAAGGCTTTTAATATCTAATTTCAACATATGCTAGGTGGCTTTTATATTCATTCTAATCAATTTTAGATTAGAATTCCAAAAGATCTCCTGTATGGAGAATGAGTGCAGGGAAATCGCCCCAGAGGGAGACCACAGCTGCGATAGAAGGATATCTGCAAGTGGGATCTGAAGGCCTTAGGAATGGATCTCAACAGATGGGAAACTCTGCCATCTGACCTCTTTCAGATCTGCATTTTAATTTTGACTGTGTTTAGCTGCTTTTTAATAGTTAATTCCATTTGTTCTAAATTACAGTGGTGCTCCGCAAGACAGGCGCTCCGTTTGACGACGAAATCGCATCACAACGAACTTTTTGCGATCGCAAAACAATGTTCCCTATGGGGGAATTTCGCTTTACGATGATCGGTTCCCTGCTTCGGGAACCAATCATCGCAAAGCAATGATTGTTAACAGCTGATTGGCGGTTTCAAAATGGCCACCGGGTAAACAAAATGGCCGCCCGCTGTGTTTTCGCACGGATTCCTCGCTGCACAGGCAGCGAAAATGGCCGCGCTATGGAGGATCTTCGCTAGACGGTGAGTTTGAAGCCCCTAGGAATGCATTTATCTGGTTTTAATGCGTTTCTATGGGCTTTCTAAAATCGCATTATGACGTTTTCATTCTACAGCGATTTTGGTGGAACGAATTAACGTCGTAATGCAAGGTACAACCGTACTGTTTGTTTTAATCATGGGTGAGCTGCTTCGAGTTCCTTCCGTTTGAGAAAACCAGCACAACCATGGAATTAAATAAAACGACACACATTTCTTAAGAGGATGGAGCTGGCACACATATTGGCCTTGCACCCCACACCACGAGGGCCGTCCCATCCCATCCTGCACCTCCTCATGCCATGTTTGGAGAACCTGGGATGTTCTCCCATCCAGATTAAGTCTGTATGTTAAGTTGTCCTCCTTAGGGACTTTGACATCACCTTGGCGGTTCAACTCACCCTCTCCGGTCCAGCTCTGCCACGTCCTCCACCCTCATGCCAAAGATGAAAAGGTTCTCCTCTCCAGCTTCTTCTGCCATCTCGACGTTGGCGCCATCCATGGTCCCGATGGTCAGAGCCCCGTTGAGCATGAACTTCATGTTGCCGGTCCCCGAGGCTTCGGTGCCCGCCGTGGAAATCTGCTCCGATAAATCTGTGGCTGGAATCACTGCCCAGAAAAGAGGGATTGTTGTAAGGGGCGCCTTCCCCTTGCGGGTACCACCTTTAGTACAGGTGGCCAACCTCCCGCTGTCCTCCATCACCTCCGGGCCGCTCTGCAAATTGAACCACCCCCTCGGCATCAAACAGTAAAAACAACGATGGCTACCATTCTGTACCCACCTAATATGGTTTGTGTCAAGGTAAATTTACAAGTGTGATCAGAATAATGAGCACCCATGATGAACAGATGTGTAGAAACTGTCATGATGACTCAGCAGTGCTGACTCATGCATGATGCAACATATAATGTGACTGGACACAAGCAGATCTCTATATGTATATATATGTGAAGCTGAACAGTTAATGTATCTTCCTGCTTTGTGATGAATGCTGTTATGCTGCCAGACTGAACTGCTGTAAATATCTTGTAAATACACGTTGGTGGAGGAGACGCTTCTGTTGTGTGTGTGTTATTCTGGACTACCTGGACTGTTTAATACTCTGCTAAACCTGCTGTTCTTCTGCATTTTTGCGCTAACAGTTTGCTTTCAGAACCTACCCAGGGTCAGGTGTGGCTCATACCTGGAGGGGTAACCCATAGGGAAAACCTGGGCTCTCCAAGGTGGGTGGGGAAAAGACTCTTGTCCGAAACCCTGCAGCTGCCGGTCAGTGTTGGCAATAGAGGGCTAGAGGGGCTCAAATAGCCAAAATCCCGTTGCGTAAGCTCGGCTTTGTATGTCTTGTGCAAGCCATTGCAATATTTGAACCAAGGAAGAAGGAAAATCAAGGAAGCCGTCCTGCAAATGTAGTTGTATGGTTCATTGGTGGGCAGTTGCATGGTTCACTCCACGCAGATGGCGTGGGCGTTCATCCCCATAACACTGGGCTGTAACAAATGTAGCCAGGGTTTCGGGCATTGTACGGCAGCTTGCTGTGTTCCTGTATTCCTACGAAACAAAGTGGCCAAACCAGGCTTGGGAAGAGGCCTGGTTTTAGAAAAGGATGGTGCCGGCAGGAGGTGTGATTCCTTCATTATGCCCCCCCCAAAACCCCAGGGACTAGAGAGATCCAAATACAGCCTTGGAGATGGGCATGAACCGCTAATTCGGTGGTTCACGCCAGTTCGTTTTGTGCCCGAACTGGTGTTTGGCACCTCTGAGCCCCACCTTCTCTGGTGGGCGCCCAACTCAGAGACAGCGCCCTGGCTTCCCTGCCTCACCTCCTCCAGGGGCTGACTCTGAGCAGCTTGGAAGTGCTGAGGACCTGCTCGGCCACAAATGGAACTCGCACAAACTGCTGAACGTCAAGGAAGCCGTTCTGCAGGCATAGTTGTGTGGTCCGTGACATGGTTCACTCCACGCAGACGGCTTGGGCGTTCATCCCCTCTGAACCTCTGCAGGCATAACTTTGGGCTCTAACAAGTGTAGCCAGGGTTTCGGGCATTGTACGGCAGCTTGCTGTGTTCCTGTATTCCTACGAAACAAAGTGGCCAAACCAGGCTTGGGAAGAGGCCTGGTTTTAGAGAAGGATGGTGCTGGCAGGAGGTGTGATTCCTTCATTATGCCCCCCCCTCCAAAACCCCAGGGACTAGAGAGATGCAAATACAGCCTTGCAGATGGGCATGAACCTCTAATTCGGTGGTTCGCGCCAGTTCGTTTGGCGCCCGAACTGGTGTTTGGCACCTCTGAGCCCCACCTTCTCTGGTGGGCGCCCAACTCAGAGACAGCGCCCTGGCTTCCTTGCCTCGCCTCCTTCAGGGGCTGCCTCCGAGAGGCTTGGAAGTGCTGAGGACCCGCTCGGCCGTGAACGGAACTCGCACAAACTGCTGAACAGTGCTTTGTGCCCAACTGTAGAAGTGATGGCTTGTGATGGGGGTGAATTACGGGTTGAAGCCCTCTCCCCATATCCCAGCCCATGAGCTGCCGATGCTTTATCATTGTCCTTTTAAATTAACTGGATACCTTTTGCTAAAAATGCAAGAAAAGGCGATACCTTTTACTGGACCACTAATAAAATAAAATAAATAACAAGCTTTCATAGATGAAATCCACTTCCTTAGGTGTGAAGCGCACCCCTTTTCTGCACCAATCCTTCTTTTGTACTCGTGAAATTTTCTTGACCCCACCGGCCCTTTGCTTTTCTCTCTCTTTTATTACAACGAGCTGAAGATGTCTTAAATCGATTAAAATACGAAAAACCCAACCCAACGCCAAAGTGTAAGATAATCAGGTCCATCTTCCCACCAACCTGATGAATAAGAAATCACAGGGATAATCAATCAGCCTGTTCTATAGCTTCTTAAACTATAGGCATCCTCAGGTTATCCCTTAAATGAGACGGTCATTCAGGAACTATTTAGGCTGGGACAGCCACCTCTCTAGGGAGAGAGACATTATAGAGAGGCAGCCACGGAGAAACACCACGTGCGTGTGGCACAGCGGTTAAGCTGCAGTCCTGCAGCCAAGATTCTGCTCAGGATCTCAGCTCAATCCCAAGATTGATGCAGCCTACCATCCTTACGAGGAAATGAGGATCCAGCTCCCTGGGGGTGTGGTGGGGAATGTGCCGTCTGCATAATTAAATTGCAAACCACCCAGGGAGAGTTTTAAGCACAATGGGGTGGTATAGAAGCAGCCCGTTTTGCTTTGTATGCCCTTTGGTTTGGTGCTGAATTCACAGATCTGGCAAGCTATTTTAGGGCTTCGTATGCCAGCGTGGTCTTAACTGACCAGATAGGCAGGATATAAATAAAATAAAATAAAATAAATAAATAGCCAACAAGCCATTCTGGCTAGAGAATTCTAGTCCAAAAAGTAAGGGAAACCGAGAAGAGTCTCCCAGTTCTGCACATATCTCGGTCTTCGCTCTCGAGGGGAAACTCCCGAAGTGTGTAAAGCCCGGATCTGGCCAGGGGATGCGACCTTACCTTTCTCAGCGAGGGAGACCCTGTAATTCTCCAGGAAAATAACCTTCAGCTTGTTCCCGATCACGGGGTCGTTGTTCACCACGTGGCCCACGGAGGTGATCAGCTTGATAATCATCTTCGCCATGTGGTAGCCAGGAGCAGCCTGGGGAGAAGACGGCCAGCCAAAAAGGCAAATCATGCACGGTGCTTTTACAGATCTCTCTCCCCACCCCCCATCCTCCAAACCAATCATTTTATGGCCAGGAAAATTGGGAAGAACGCAGGGACCGTAAGAACGGTCAGTTGGGGCAACAGACTCCATCAGAAGGTGGGGCTGTAACTAAAGCAGAGGAAATAAGACTACCAAAATTTTGAAGGGAAGGCCAGCTAAAAACAAACACAGTGACTAATATTAGGAAAAGGAACGGCAGCCACACCGGCTGGCCCAATGCCCCCTTTAAAAAAAAAAGAATAAACCTCCTGGATGCATGGCATCTGCATCCAGGCAGAGTGGATAAGAAGCAGTGCCGATGGCCCCCAAATGCCAAAAAAGCTGGTTATATCTCTGGTGGGTTTCCTTCTTCCTTGGTGGCTTGCAAAGCAAGGCTGGGTGGTGGCATCTACCCGGTAAGCTTTAGCTGGGCATGGCTGGACTAGATGACCCTTCGGCAACCCCGCCAACGCTATTAATTTTACATCTCCTTTAAAAAGCTAAGCTGGCTGGATAGCTCAGTGATCTAGGTGTCTGTTGGGGAGGCCAGAGGTTGGGAGTTTGATTCCTCCCTGGACATCTCCAGAGAGAAGAGCCAGCCTGGGTGGCCTTGGGCCAGCTGCACAGTCCCAGAGTGCCCCTAGAGAAGGGAAGGGTAGAACACATCTGAGTGTTCTCTACCCGGAAAACCTTGGAAAGGGTCGCCATGTCAGAATTGACTTGATAGGACGTGATTATTATTCGAGCTAGCTAGATAGTTCAATGAGGTAGGTCTCTGGTTGCAGAGCCCAAGGTTGGGAGTCTGATTCCCTCCACTGAGCCTCTTGGGAGATAAGCCAACCTGGGTGGCCTTGGGCCAGCTGCACAGTCCCAGGGCGCCCCTAGAGGAAGGAAATGGTAATACTCATCTGACTGTTCTCTACCTGGAAAACCCTGAAAAGATTCACCATAAGTCAGGATTGACTTGACAACACAGTTGTTGTTGTTGTTGTTGTTGTTGTTGTTGTTGTTGTTGTTGTTGTTGTTGTTGTTGTTGTTGTTGTTGTTGTTGTTGTTGTTGTTGTTGTTGTTAAAACACCAGGTATAGCCAATCGAAATTATAAAAACACTTACTGGTATTATATAAGAGATACAAGTTTTAACCAAAGCCTAAGTAGCTGTTAAATATCGATGCAGTATCTATGCTGTTCCTAATACTGCCGTTTTTGTAGCTCTGATGGCGTAATTTTTGAGATCTCCAGCTGCTTACAGTACTGTGTGAAATTTCTTGGTATTGTGGATGGCCCAAATTATGTTATATTCCAAGTTGAACCCAATCTAGAGGGCTTTTGTTGTGTTAGAGTAGTAGCAGCTAACAAACTCACTTACCTTGCCGCCAATTATCACTGTCCTGGGTACAAACAGCTTATTGGGGTCTCTCTTGATGCCTGCAAAAGACAAAGAACATACGGACAACACGTGTGGTTTTGTATGTTTGCACGCTATCTCCTAGAACTCTGGAAGATGTTAAAAAAAAATCCCTGTGCAAAATGGCACACTTCTGATCAGCCTCACCTTCTACGCAAAGAAAAATCATAGAGCCTGCTTTTTGGCCGTGAGCGACGAGCAGGCTCTGTAGATTTTTCAGGGGTGGGGGAAGACATTTTGAATTTTTTAGACTGCTTTCCGGCACCTGTTTGAGATCTCCCTGGTTTTGTGGTGGTGGTGGTGGTGGCTGTAGAAGACAAGGGATGCGGCACGCAGCGTCCAGCGACCTTATGACCAGCCATTGTTGAATAGGGCCCCATCTTGAATTCAGAGGGCTACCCCCCAGAATGGGGGTGACCATAGAAATGGGTCAATGCCAACTGATCAGGAGTGCAAGCATACTCTAAGTCTCTATCTGAACTTTGTAGGAGTTATCGGTGACGCTGAACCTATTCTGCAGAGGGACCATCGTCACTACCTTAAGACAGCAGGGGGCAAAAGCCAGAGCAGATTTTCCACCCACCCATCGCTAAAATCAAAGCCCTCCGTTTCCAGGATCAGAGAAACCCATGCCCTATCTTGGAAGCATTCGTGTTAATGGAGATCCCCAAAATTGGGGTGTAAACATTTATCATTTTAGCGAAAACTACACTGTTAGTTTGTTGCATGGACGGTGAATAATGCATTGAAACAAAGCCCTCCGTTTCCAGGATCAGAGAAACTCATGCCCTATCTTGGAAGCATTCATGTTAATGGAGATCCCCAAAATTGGAGTGCAAACATTTATAATTTTAGTGAAAACTACATTGATAGGATGGTGAATAATGCATTGAAAACAGGCTGCTTAAATGTTTTCTTTTAAAAACAACTGAAATTATTAACAAACTGGGATCTCCAACTTTTGGCCATTAACGGCCAAAGAAACAGAAGAACGTGAAACACAGATTCCTATTTATTCTGTTGATGTTACTGGTGTTTAACAATCAACAATGACATTTTTTAAAAATCAATTTTTTAAAAATGTGACTGGATATTTTAACAAACTGATGCAAAAATTAATTTTCAACTAATTATTTCCAGGCCCGACTTACGGCTAAGGACCAACGAGGGAACCTGACTTGATTTGAGGATCTGTGCACCACTAGAAAGGCTGGATATTGGAACATTCCCAGCAGAAGACCAGAAGGGCTTGCCACGTTATCGGCAGAGCGTTAAGACTCCGACAAGGGCAGCTGAAATGTCTTCCCTCCCAGCTGGCAGTCAACTGGGGTCGACCTTAGGCTTTGAAATGACTTCCAGAACAAGACTGGAAAGGATGAAGCATCCTGGAAGAACTGCAAAACTCAGGTGTTGCCACAAGGCAGCGAGAACGGCCCGTAATGGAAAAGTTTGGAAAAGTTAAGTTTTCTGAACTACAACTCCCAAAACCTCCACACACCTGCCTTGAAGTTCCACATCTGGGAGTTATAGTCTACGGAAGTAACTTTTTAAAACTCTTTTGTGACGGCTAGGAGAGGGGAAAAAAATTTAATTGGTCCGGCTACAGCTAGTCTGAAAACGAATGACTGTGTTTTGACATTGCATGCAGTTTTAAAAGGCGGCTTTTATTTCCGCACTTGGGCGCTTGAAAATAAAGTCACAAACGGACCCTAGCAGGGCTTAGGGAGGGAGGCCGGGCGCAGCCTTTACTCACGGTTGTACATGGTGATGATGTGGAGGCAGTTCATGAGCTGCCGCTTGTATTCGTGAATCCTCTTCACCTGCACGTCGAACATGGAAGCTGGGTTGATCTTCACCTTGTATTCCCTCTCCAGATACTGGCCAAACTTGACCTTATTTTCCTGGGAGAAGAGGTGGAGGAGGAATCATGAAAGAACCAGCTTATGATGTGTGTAAAGCTCTCTATACTTTGGGTCCAGCATTTCTGAAGGATTTTCTCCCCGTCCCTCCACAGCCCCAAGAAGCTTCTATGGTTTTAAGATCTTCAAGGAAGCCCACCCTCTCTCTGTATGTGTCACCATCCTCACGGGTGGCGAGGACAGGAGAACAGGGCCTTCTTGGTGGCTGCTCCCAGGCTGTCAAACTCCCTGCCAAGGGAAGCTGAGATGTTCCCCTCTGTTCTTGTCCCTCTGTGGGAAGGCAAATGCCTCTCTCTCTCTGTGTCATGGGAACATATGACAAGGACAGGAGAACAGGGCCTTCTTGATAGCTGCTCCCAGGCTGTCAAACTCCCTGCCTAGGGAAGCTGAGATGTTCCCCTCTGTTTTTGTCCCTCTGTGGGAAGGCAAATCCTGCATATTTTTATTTAGAGCGGGCTTTGGCTGATGAGGGAGGGCCTTGTTCTATTCTTTTTTGCTGTTGGTGATTTAAAAACTGTATTAATTTAACGTGTCCACCTATTTAATACTGTTCCAAAAAGTGGCAACTCAGGCCCTTGCTAGGGATAAACAGTGTTTTTCCATCTCGAGCACTACTAAGCATTACTAATTACTATTGTTTTGAATTGTTTTTAACTGTTTTAGTCTATAATGTTTGATGGAACCCACCCGGAGTAGATTATGTCTAAAAGGTCGGGATAGAAATCTAATAAATCTAATAAACAACTACATGAATGAATGAATGAATGAATGAATGAATGAATGAATAAATGAATGAATGAATGAATGAATAAATAAATAAATAAATAAAGGGATGACAGAGGATTAGATGGTTGGACAGTGTCATAGAAGCGACCAAGATGAATTTGACCCAACTCCGGGAGGCCGTGGAAGACAGGAGGGCCTGGTCCATGGGGTCACAAAGAGTTGGACACAAGTAAACAACATTGTTAGCTAACCCTGTTATCTTAACCCATGTTCGCCCCCGCCTTCCACGCTTGTCTTGCTTCACATGTCTAGTCATGCACCCAACTGGGCAAATCAGAGATTGTCAATTAGGGCAAGCTAGCAAAGACCTGAGTGCTCACTGGAAGGACAGATCCTGAAGCTGAGGCTCCAGTCCTTTGGCCATCTCATGAGAAGAGAAGACTCCCTGGAAAAGACCCTGGTGTTGGGAAAGTGTGAAGGCAAGAGGAGAAGGGGACGACAGAGGATGAGATGGATGGACAGGGTCATCAAAGCGATTAATGTGACTGTGACCCAACTCCGGGAGGCAGTGGAAGACAGGAGGGCCTGGCGTGCTCTGGTCCATGGGGTCACGAAGAGTCAGACACGACTTAACAACTAAACAACAACAACATCCAGCTCCACCCCCAGAACTGCATGCAATTGTCCAAGAAGTCCTACTCTGACATCACAGGATATAGGGCAGGCTATAAATGTTTAAGTAAGGAAGTAAGTGGTGGCGCTGTGGGCTAAACCGCAGAAGCCTGTGCTGCAGGGTCAGAAGACCAAGCAGTCGTAAGATCGAATCCACGCGACGGAGTGAGCTCCCGTCGCTTGTCCCAGCTCCCGCCAACCTAGCGGTTTGAAAGCATGCAAATGCGAGTAGATTAATAGGGACCACCTCAGTGGGAAGGTAACAGCGTTCCGTGTCTAAGTCGCACTGGCCATGTGACTACGGAAGATTGTCTTCGGACAAACGCTGGCTCTATGGCTTAGAAACGGGGATGAGTCGAACACGACTTGACAAAAATTGTCAAGGGGAACCTTTAAAAAAAGGAAGTAAGTAGGACATACAGACAGACAGACATCATCCCGTCGCCTCCGTGGCCTCTTACCTGCTTCACTTTGGCCACTTCCCGAATGAACAGCTCATCGTTCGCGTAGCGGTGCAACCTGGTCAGCTGGCTCAGATCCTTCACATAGTCCTCTCCTATTTTCTGGAAAACGAAGTCCAAAGGGTCAACAATGTTCAGCCCCTAAAGCCTTTTCAGAGTAATTTATTTTCAAAGTCACCGTTTACGAAAATGCGAGGAGGGGATCAACGCTAAGCCTGCCTGCTCTGTCCTTCCTCTGCTCGTGTGGAAATGACAGACCGGAAAAGCGGCGTCTCCCAGGGGCACAGAGGCTCTCCCTCCATCCTGCGCCACGTGGAAAATCTGAGATCTGACTTGCGTGGAGAGAAACCATCTCTGTGTGAAGGGAGCCCTCACTTTTCAGGTTAAACCAGGGGCCTCCGCTCCTCACATGTCAGGTTAAACCTTCCCAGATCGCAGGCGTAGGTCTTGCACCAATCCATTGGCATTAGGTCGCCTACAGCATCGACTCCTTCACGGTTAAGAAGTTCTTTAGGTGGTGGGTAAGTAAATATTTTGCAGAAGAGCCAAAACACGGGGTTGAGAGAGGAATCAATTTGTGGTCGAGATGGGCACACACCGCCGGTTCAGCGATTTCTCCCAGTTCATTTCCTGGTCAAACAGGGGTTCAGCACTTCCCAGCCCCACCTCCTCCAGTGCGCACCCATGCAGGGGCAGCAGCCGGAGGAGGCGGGGCTGGGAAGCCTGGATGCTGACTCTTGAGTGGTCACCTGCCAGAGGAGGCGGGGCTGTGAAACACAGAATACTTGTTTGGCCAAGAAGCAAACCAGCACGAACCGCCGAACCAGCAATTTCTGTCCATCTCTACTTCATGGATAGGGATGTGGTGGCGCTGCAGATTAAACCGCAGAAGCCTCTGTGCTGCAAGGTTGGAAGACCTGCCGTCGTAAGATCGAATCCAGGCGATGGAGGGAGCTCCTGTCGCTTGTCCCAGCTCCCGCCAACCTAGCAGTTTGAAAGCATGTAAAAATGCGAGTCAATATATAGGGACCACCTCGGTGGGAAGGTCACAGTGTTCCGTGTCTAGTTGCATTGGTTACATCACCACAGAAACTGTCTATGGACCAACGCTGGCTCTACAGCTTGGAGACGGGGATGAGCATCACGCCCTAGAGTCGGACATGACTGGACTAAATGTCAAGGGGAACCTTTACCTTTACCTACTTCGTGGTTGATGGAAACATGGACTTTTTGATGCATTGTTGCCTCTTTTGGGGCAGGTTCAACCAATGTTTGAGGCCTCTAAAATCTGTTTCATGAAATGTGACCATACAACAATACGTCGCCTGCAGGAGCAATGACCCCCAAAACTGATTTCAAATCAAAGAAGCAGGAGACTGGATGGCTTTCCTCTAAACTAGTATGGGATACCATTTAGGCTGAAAACAAACCACATGATTTCTCCGGAACCACTTAAAAACAAAAAACCATTATGCAAGACTGACAAATTGCATCTTGCCTCTGCAATCAGTTCTGCCAGTCCTGGGTTGCAAAGCAGGAGCCAGCGCCGAGGGGTAATGCCGTTGGTTTTATTCTGAAACTTCTCTGGCTCCACCTCAGCAAAGTCCTTGAACCTGTGAGAGAAACGAGCACCGGGTTGGGAGCTGGCTCGTAAACTTTTTGTTTGGCTAAACCAACTGGCTTCCACTCTCTGCCCACGGCTTTTTCCCTCCCTGCATTTCCGAATTATGTATTTGGCCCCTGAATTCAGGTAACGGCGTTTGTGTGTTGGGGGCTGCTCTACCCAGATGGGGAGGGCACTGAAAACAGATCAAGGGGTCCGAATAGCCCTCCCGAGCCCACGGCGGATCAGTGGGGAGCCTAGCTTCGAGATCAACCCCGGTATTGCCAAAGATGCCAGCCGAGGGGGTTCTCACATGCGCTGTGTTTCCACACCGCACCCACACGAGCAATTCCAAAAGCAAAACAGACCCGACGCTACTCACACTTGGGACTTGATGATATCCGAGTGGATTTTCGCCACCCCGTTCACGGCATGGGAGCCCACGATGCAGAGGTGAGCCATGTTGATGCGCTTGACTCCTTCCTCCTCGATCAGGGACATCCGCCGGATGCGCTCGACGTCCTTCGGAAAGAGCGCGGCGATTCTCTGAGTGGGGGTGAAGAGGGAAAGAACAGTCAAGCACGGGCTCCGCCCAGACGCCCGCCACAAGGGTCCGATCCACTCTTGAAAGCACGCCGGCTGCGCTGGCCTCCGCAGCTCATCTGATGAAGCTACAAAGCATGGCTGGGCCTCCTGTGTTCTCCCAGAGGCTTCTGGGCCACAACCAGGCCAGGTTTGCCCAGTGAGAAGCTGTGCTCTAGCAACCTCTGGGGGAATGCACTCCCCTACTCATGTTATTTTATTTCCCTCAGCAGCAAGATTAATTATAACAAAAAATGGAAATCAAAGCATGAATTTCAATTAAATGGCTGGTATATTCATGAAAAGTTAATGTGATTGATCAGGTTAAAAAAGGGGTTGCCCAATAAAAATATTTTGAGAGCTGTTTGGTGGATTAGTTATTAATTAAAGGGAGAAGCGGCATACCTCCAAGAGAATTCATGCGGTTTTGTAGGGGGAATGAGGCACCCTAACTGAAAAATGGGTGCAACGTGTCTTCAAATGGTTCTAGTGGAGTGAGGCACTAGTGTGTGATTGAATAGTCAACCCCCCCCCCTTTAAATTCCACTGATTCAAATCGGTCTACCCTACTTGCAAGTTACTAGGCTAAGCAACAGGATTCCAGCCATTGTGTGGCCTAAAACGGAAGAGTCAGAGAAAGACATGCGAGTGGTTGAACTTACATCCAGGTGCCTTTGGTTGATCTCGTAGATAATCTGGAGGTGTCTGGGGAGCAGCTTCTCTACCAAATCAACAGGCCAGCGCTCAAGGGCTTCAGGGAGAACCGTATGGTTTGTGTAGGCAAAGGTTCGCGTGGTGATGTCCCAGGCCTGGCATTCGTGGAAGAAAAAGAGTTCGGCATGGCAAGGTAAGAAAACAAGGAGGCTAAGGAACAGCTGATTTTTCTGTTGGTCTTCCTTTGCTCGAGATGAAACCCTTGAAATGGGCCAGTTATCTTGACCTACACTAGAGGTGGGCATGAGCGGCCAGTTTGGTGGTTTGTTTAAAAGCCAGATAGGTGTTCAGCATTTACAAGCCATGCCTCCTGCGGTATTCAAGAGGCGGCGTCCCAGCTTCCCTGCCCTGCCTCCTCTGGCAGTTGCCTCCAAGTGGGCAGCTGCTAGAGGAGGTGGGGCTTTGAAGTGCCGAACATTTGTTTGGCTGCTAAACGAACCAGCACAAACCACTGAACTGTCAGTTTGTGCCCATCCATAATCTAGACCATGTGACATAAAGAACTTATTTGGGCAAGGGGGAAAAATAACTGCACGTGGCACGGATCTCTTCTGAGAAACTTTTCTGTGTCAAAACAGGATTACATCTGCGGCATAAAGTCAGTACGTTGTGGCCACTCACATTCTATGTGTGTCAACTGGTGGCCATCTGTCTTGATCTAAGGCTCTTTCAGACGGTGCATTTGTTCTGCTGGGTTATATCTGGATGTCATTAGTATTTCTCCTCTCATACAGATGACATAAGGCTTGTCTCAATTTATCCAGCGGCTATTCTTTAAAAGCCAGACAGGTGTTCAGCATTTACAAGCCATGCCTCCTGCGGTATTCAAGAGGCGGCGTCCCAGCTTCCCTGCCCTGCCTCCTCTGGCAGTTGCCTCCAAGTGGGCAGCTGCTAGAGGAGGTGGGGCTTTGAAGTGCCGAACATTTGTTTGGCTGCTAAACGAACCAGCACAAACCACTGAACTGTCAGTTTGTGCCCATCCATAATCTAGACCATGTGACATAAAGAACTTATTTGGGCAAGGGGGAAAAATAACTGCACGTGGCACGGATCTCTTCTGAGAAACTTTTCTGTGTCAAAACAGGATTACATCTGCGACATAAAGACAGTATGTTGTGGCTATTCCTATTCTATGTATGTCAACTGGTGGCCATCTGTCTTGATCTAAGGCTCTTTCAGAGGGTGCATTTGTTCTGCTGGGTTCTACGTGGATGTTACCAGTATTTCTCCTATCATACAGATGGCGTAAGGCTTGTCTCGATTTATCCAGCGGCTATTCCTGGGTATTTCCAACCTTTTTAATTTCTTTTGGGAGCCTTCTTCCAGAGGGAAGAATTCACCACCACAGCCCTTACTGTGTCACCCCCTACAAGAGCGACTTGGTTCAACAAGCAGTCAACCTCGGTTTTATTTTTTAAAAAAAAAACCTCCAGAAAATCAAAAACCCTCCCAGCAGAGAAGCCAAAGCACAGAAGTCAATTTACTTTGAATTTTGTGTGGAGATCTCTTAATGATTAGTGTCTTTCTCAACAAGAAGAGACTTGACATGGTTTGGGGCTTTAGTTCGATTTGAGACCCAGCAAACCTGGCGCTTATCTGGGACCCTGAGGCAAAAAAGGTGTGTGTGTTGGGGGGGCGGGGGTGGAGGACAAAGGCTATGCCCCAAAGAGAACCCAACCCAAAGATCTACCTGGATCATTTCCACCTGAAACTGTTCACACCCGTTGCATTTTCCAAATGCCAGGAATTCCCAACAGGTGGTGGAGCCATTATGAGACTCCTGGGTTCCTTTGGAACCTGGTGTGTTCGGCAGGTAAGTAACTACGCCAAGGTAAACTGGAAATGACCAGCCTCCATCATTCACCCCATCCCACCTCCACTCTGTGGGGAAACCCTCTGAATTCCAGGTGGGTTCCCACCTGGGTCTGGGTCCCATTCAGCACTGGCTGGTCATGAGGTCCTCTTGTCCTCTACAGCCCCCCCCCCATGCAAAACCAGTGAGATCTCAAACAGGTGCTGGAAATCAGTCTGGGGCCAGGGATGAGAATTCCTTTGCCACCTCTGGGAAATCTGCAGACCCTACACTTACTCCCTTTCCAACAGCTAAAAGCAGGATCTAAGATGATCGTTTCGGTAGAAGCAGCAGCCAATGCATAGCCTCTCTATGATGGAGATTTAGGGATTGGAAACTTCAGGGCACCAAGGTGTACGAAAAGCTCACAAGGCTTTCGCACCTTAGAAAGTGGAGCTGGATGCCAAGTGCAGGAAAACACAGAGCGCGGGTTTCGGAACTCTGCCCATGCCGGGTGGGAGGAAGGATGCCGGGCTTGGCCATCCCAAAAACCTCCGAAAAGTTTCCAAACTTTGAAACAAGCATCACAGGGAAGAAAGCAAGGAAGATTTTGATACGAAAATGTATTAAATATTAATGTTGTCTAGTTAAATGTAAAATGGCTGATTTTTCCTGAGTCACTGTACTAACTGTATTCAGGTGTGGGTATCAAACATTACTGCCAACCTAGCAGCTCGAAAGCATGTAAAAATGCAAGTAGATAAATAGGTACAGTGGGGTCTTGACTTAAGAACGGCTCGAGTTAAGAACATTTTGACTTAAGAACCACTCTCATAGGAAAATATTGACTTGACTTACATACTTAGATTTGAGTTAAGAACTGAAAAAACCCACGTGGGAGGCAGGGAAAGTGCAAAATTTGAACTTTCAGTTAACTGTTGGCCAGTGAAAAGGGTGCCTGTCTGCTTCCTCACTCCTCCCAGCGTTTAGAGAGTGGATTGGGAGACAGTCTTCAGACTGCCTGGTACTGCCTGGACTGTATTTTCCCTGCCTTCCCTGAACCTTTCTTGACCTAAGAAAAAAAGAAACAAAATATCCCCCTCTAGTGGTCGAAGGCGGAATAGCAGCTTCCCATTAGTTTCTATGGACGGAAAAGAGCAGATACGGATCAAATGGTTTTCAATGCATTCCTATGGGAAATGCAGATTTGACCTGAGAACTTTTTGACTTGAGAACCGCCTTCCAATACGGATTAAGTTCTCAAGTCAAGACCCCACTGTACCACCTTGGTGGGAAGGTCACGGCGTTCCATGTCTAGTTGCGCTGGCCACGTGACCACGGATACTGTCTACAGCTCCAAGCTCTACGGCTTGGAGATAGGGATGAGCACCGCACCCTAGAGCTGGACATGACTGGACTCAATGTCAAGGGGAATCTTTACCTATCAAGGATTAAGACTGAATGTTGTACAGTTTTGTACATGATGAGACTTGGTGTAACAGAAAATGAAGTCATGTATTTTCTGATTGGCCCCAGAACTGTACATAAGTCATGTGTAAAATGAACATCTTTCTCTGCTGTAAGTCAGATCACTTTTTCTTACACTGTGTGTTGCTTCCTCTCCATCTTTCTCTGCTGTAAGTCAGATCACTTTGTCCTATGCTGTGTTGTTGCTTCATGTCATGTTAAGCTGCTAAAGGAATGTCTCTTCTCTATGTATATATGTAAACAGACTAAGTGGTTGGTTTTCCTCTCTCTGCATTCCTATGGGAAATGCAGATTTGACCTGAGAACTTTTTGACTTGAGAACCGCCTTCCAATACGGATTAAGTTCTCAAGTCAAGACCCCACTGTACCACCTTGGTGGGAAGGTCACGGCGTTCCATGTCTAGTTGCGCTGGCCACGTGACCACGGATACTGTCTACAGCTCCAAGCTCTACGGCTTGGAGATAGGGATGAGCACCGCACCCTAGAGCTGGACATGACTGGACTCAATGTCAAGGGGAATCTTTACCTATCAAGGATTAAGACTGAATGTTGTACAGTTTTGTACATGATGAGACTTGGTGTAACAGAAAATGAAGTCATGTATTTTCTGATTGGCCCCAGAACTGTACATAAGTCATGTGTAAAATGAACATCTTTCTCTGCTGTAAGTCAGATCACTTTGTCCTATGCTGTGTTGTTGCTTCATGTCATGTTAAGCTGCTAAAGGAATGTCTCTTCTCTATGTATATATGTAAATAGACTAAGTTGTTGGCTTTACTCTCTCCGCGTCATAGTGTAATAAGTATCTCTGCTAACCAATATCTCCTTACTCTGCTGATGTTATGAGAATACATGTTTATGATCAAAATTCTCAATGGGTATTAAGGAGTTTTGTATCTCTTAGCACTGTAAACGATGATACAGAAGTACTCTGCTGATGTTATGAGAATACACGATTTATGATCAAAATTCTCAACCATTATTAAGGAGTTTTGTATCTCTTAGCGCTGTAAACAGAGCCCGCTGATGCAGAAAGGGTTTCCAAACCTTCTCCCACGGCAGCTTTTCGATATCCAGGAACACTCTCATCAGCTCCGGAATGGCCAAGGAAGGGTGGGTGTCGTTCAGCTGGATGGCAACCTGTAAAAAAAAAAAGAGCAAGTAGGGAGGGATGGGGTCGAAGCAGAGAGAACGGGACTGCCAGATCAACGTCTGAGATAAGAGGTACCGACCCTGAGGTCTCCCAAGGAAAAAGGTGTGCGTGCGCCGGAGGGCCCAGCTGCTGGGTGGGGAGTAAGAGTTTCTCTCCCAAAGAAGGCTGATTTGCACCAAGAGACTATGCTAAAGGTTTGAAGCCTTAAATGTTTAAATACCAAGAAGTATTTTTTTAAAAAATGTTGCGGTTTCTTAAAAGTTTTACCAAGAACCCGCCAGCCCCTCCATCATAATCTGAGCCCCTAAACTAGAGTGGATCGCAGCATGATGCATTGGGGTCCACCAGAGCCCCAAATGTGGCCTGCCGTCCCCCCCAGGACTCCCTCGTTACTTCCACCCCCCATTTTTAAATATAAATGAGCCCAAATGTTTCTTTGCTTGGTAAGTTTCCTTGGATCCTCCAGGGAGAAATTCTACCATGTTCTGAGAGTCTCCGAGATTCCCACTCTCCACTTTATTTGCCTTTTAGATTTTTGCTAATACAGGATACTTGGGGGGGGGAAGAACTCCAGAGATGGGAGTGGGTGGCCCCCCAGGAACTCTGGAGATGACCCACCCCTTCCACAAAGTGCATCTTATTTAGCTTATGCCTAAATCCAGACCTCTAATCCCTTCACCTACATTGTGCAAGGCATTTATTTACTTATTTAATTTTTATACTGCCTTGACCTAGTGGCAACCCACTACCTCTGGGCAGTTTACAAAGAGAACAGAAAATTGCAGTAAACAATACAACAGCGATACAAACTTAATAGCACAATATATGCCCGTAAATAACAAACCAAAGGGGGGAAAAGCATAGAAAACATACGGTTGACAGTCCAGCATAGGTCTACGATCGTGGAGGAATGTTTTAAAATTCCTCTTTTGTAAAGCTCTGCCTTCTGAAAAACAGCACAGGAGAAGGCCTGGTGTACCTCCAGCGTATTCCACAATGAAGGGGCCACCACTGAGAAGACCCTGCTTCTAGTTGATGTTTCCTCGGCCTCTCTCTCAGGACAGGGTGACTCGGGTCGTTGGCTCTTTGGGAGAGATGCTCTGTCAGGTGTCTCCCAAAGAGAGAATGACGGCAGTGGCTCCATGCAGGAGAAAACCTCTAAACATGCCCAGAGACAATCCTATTCATAACGCCGGTGCCTTTTTGCAACCAGACTCTTATCTCCCAGGAGAATCCACCCCCCTCCAAAGAAACGGAGGCACGATTAATTACCTGGTCTGGGAAGGAATCAAAAGCCGTCCGGACACTTTCAGTACTCCCAAATTTGGAGGCTTTGAACCGACGGATGATGTCCTGGAGGGTGGCGGCAACCACAAAGTATTCCTGCTTCAGGCGCAACTCTTTCCCCTCGAAAAACTAGAAAGGGGAGAGAAAGGTCCCAGGAGGAGCATCAACCAAAGAGAGGTGAGGTGACAAAAGGGGGGGGGGAGAGAAAAATCTGTTAAGTGTTGGAAGACAAACAGTGGCCTGTTGGTGATTTTGGATGGCAAGCCCATATGCTCCATTTTATTGGTAGCTAAAAGAAGTCCTTTGGCTGGCTGGATAGCTCAGTGGTTTATCCAGAGCCACAGGTTGGGAGCTCGCTTCTCCAATGGTGCAACTCTAGAAAGAACAGCCTGGGTAGCCTTGGGCGAGCTGCATGGAGTCCCAGGGCGCCCCCTAGAGGAAGGGAAGGGTAATACACCTCTGAATGGTCTCTAGCAGAGAAAGCAGAATTGACTTGACAGGACAGGATGATTATTTTTAAAAAGCACGTTAGGCCCAAGGAACTCTCTGTTGTTGATTGCAGGGAAGATGACAAGAATCAAGGGCTGTATTGTTTTGCTTGTTTACGGCTGGCTTCCACTCCCTCGTTGGGGCCGGCTGGTAGCCAACTGTGCCGCGTTTTGCTTTGGTCAACCTGAGATTATTTTTTTAGCAGGAAACAAACATTATATGGGGAAGAGTGGCTGGCCCATACGTCTGTATACCCAAATGCTACTCAACAGGCTAATCTAGCTGCCAACCATGGATCTAGAGCCAGGAATCTAGAACCAGGACATGGATCTAGAATCCATTGACCTACAGCCGGTCCATCTTGCTTCTGTTGACAAAAACGTTGACAAATTCATTAAAACAGATTTTAATGAATCTGTGGACCACCAATGGATCTAGAACCAGGACCATGGATCTAGAATCCATGTCCATCTTGCGTCAGTTGACAAAAACGTTATGGCACCTTAAGTTTAACATAAGCTTTTGTGGACAAGTCCACTTCTTCAGACATAAAAGTGGGTCTCAATGGCAAATATTTAGAAATAATTATTTTCCATGTAGTCCTATTCTTGTCTGAAGAAGTGGACTTGTCCACAAAAGCTCACGTTCAAACACAGCCATTCGCCTTTAAAGCGCCACAACATTTTTCTTCTTCTTTGTTGTTTTTATTTTTCTCTTGTTTTTGTCTAGCAGGCTAGCTCAGATTAGCCCGGCTCCTTCTTCTAAAACCATTTCAGAGGGGGCTTTCAATCTGAAACTCAATCTGCCAGCTGGTAAAAAGGGTGTCCGCTGAATTTCAGCAGCAGGGAAGCCATTTAAGACCAGAGCAAAAATCGGTCAAAGGCTGATAGTCATCACAGGTAGAGAGATGCTTCAGATCTGCGGGATCACAGCACACGTCACCCCACCTGCTGGCATGCTGGCGCTCGCATTAACAGGGCAACAACTTCTGATCACCCTCATTCCCCTGCTCTTGGTCGAAAAAGACGTGGCAGAGAAGCGGCAGGGTGGATGACTGCACCCAGAGAGTACAGTGGTGCCTCGCTTAACGATGTTAATTGGTCAAAAAAAAACATCGCTATGGGAAAACATCGTTAAGCAAAACACCATTTCCCATAGGAATGCATTGAAAACCTGTTAATCCGTTCCAATGGGAACGGATTACCGTCCTTAAGCGAAAATCCCCATAGGAAACATCGCTAAGTGAAACAACGTTTCCCCCCAACGGAAAGCCATTGAAATGCATTGAAGCCGACTCAGTGCTTTTGAATGGCTTTCCGATGTCCGTTTTCGCTCATTTTTAAGTGTCTTAAAATGTTTGAAACCTGTTTTAAATGCTTGGAATCGTTAGTCCACCTTGTGAAACCTATGCACACTTCGTTTGTCTTTGTTCTGAGTCTTCGTTAATTTTTGGTGATTTTTTGTTTTCCCCATTTAAATCTATTGAACAGGTTTCAAACATTTTAAGACAGTTTTAAATGAGCAAAAACGGACATTGTTAAGTGAAATTCCCCCATAGAGAACATCGTTAAACGATGCAAAAAATTCCTCAAAGAAACCCATCGCAAAGCGAATACATCATTAAACGAAGCAATCGCTAAGCGAGGCACCACTGTACCTAGGCACCCTACATGAGAGATCTTCGTTTCTGCCAGTCATGTATCTCCCAAATACGTATCAAGATTTTGGCAGGTTTGCTTCCCCCGGGATGGGAAATGTTACTAGTTCTGGATCACAGCTTCCAAGGGTGGACTGGGCAAAGGGTGTTCCATCCCAAAATTTCACAAGCCACCTGTGCCATCGGTGGACGACCCTGAACAAACCCAACTGCGCCTGGTTTCAGACGAGAAGACAAGCTGACCATCTTTGCGCATGTGTCATTCTGAAATGTGGGAGATTCGTTGAACTGAAGCAAGTTTGGGAGTGTGGGGGTTTTTTTGGCACTAGTTAAAAACATCAACTACACACACACAAGGGTAGGCGTGTTGCAAGCAGTGCCAACGAATCTGCCACATTCAACACCCACATTAAAGACCCACCCAGGACTCTTAACATGCACAGGCAACTCAGTGGATCTGTATCAGTTTTCAAACCTCATTCCCTTAAGAAAAACTCTTAATATACAACAACACATTGGTGTAAAGATTAGTGTCATGTTGCACTGCTTTGCCTGCGCACCACGAACGACATCATCACCAGTGGCAGATCGCTACTGAGTCAAAGACATCCTTCTTTGATTTTGGGGTGCCCGTGAATTCATCTCTTTGCATACAAGCTGCCAACACCCCAAAATCAAAAGGAACTCTTGATTCAGCAGCATTCCGTCACTGACGTTGACGTCACTGGCGCTGTGCAGGCAGAGCTATGCAGCAGGATACTGGCTATTGGTTTTCGTACCTTCCACCACATTAAAAATCTGTTCAGCCCTTTGTTATCTCTGATGCACCATCGGGTACGCGATGGTACAAGCCCATACATCAAGAAAGGAGAGTGTGGGTCTCTTGGTCCTCTAGAAAACTACATCCCATAACTGGAGATAAGTTTATCCCTACACTCCTCTGCCACCGCCACTAAAAGACTTAGTTGTGCCCCCCCATATCTGTGGGATTATACTGATTCACTCCTCCTCAGTCTAAAAATATTAAAAGAAAACCCCCAGAAATATGTAGTTCTATGAGGTAGCTATCAGAACTGGACACTAGAGAGAGCCAGAGACCATGCTATGTATAGGGTTCACTATTATCCACAGTTTTCAGCATCCACAAGGGAGCTTGGAACTACTCCCATGCAGATACCGGGCTCCCACTATACTTCAAACTGAAGGTGAAGCTGGAACATCGGTATTACTTCCACATTTTTTTCCCTAGCAACGAAGCCAAGCGAAGCAGTTATCGCGGGTATGGAAATTCAAAAAGAAATACTAGGCATGTTCTTATGGAGGCAGTAAACCAGTATTGGACAGTAACCGTGTCTGAATGCACTTCCACGGAAACAAATAGTCAATGTTGTATGAAACTCCTCTTTTGTTTTCAGGGATGTTTCTGTTCATGGGTGCAAGTGAACTGGTTTGTTTCAGGTCTCTTCTCCAGGCCTATACTGGTTTACCACCTCAGAACTAGCGTTCTCACCCGCCCCCTGCAAAATAATATGCTCTTTGCTGATTTCATGCTTCCTCCCCCTTGTTGGTTTCCAGCTGCCCTAGCGCACCCATGACTATACTAAGCACTTTTAAATGGTTTGGGGACTAAAGGACGAGGGGAACTCATATATCTCTGCAAGTGCCCCTTTGCTTTTCCCCTCTCACCTTGAACTAGGAAGCTGGAAGAGCCAGTTTTTGGTTGCCCATTCAGCCTTTAAGTTGTATCAGCTCAAGTGATCACATTGCCTAAACTGATAATGATGGATCTACACAGAATTCTCCTCACCAGTAAAGCAGGCTGCGAGCGTGAGGATTAAATAAGACACCATCAAACGCCTGGAACATGACTGCACCACCAACTTACAGAAAAGGATTATATCTGATTTTTTGGGGGGGTGCGAGGGGGCATCTCAACAGAATCACTGCAAATATAACAGGCCTTTCTGAGGGGAAAAAAGTAGAGCTTTTTGTTTCCATCACGGTGGGGCCCTGGTTCTTCTGGAGAGAAGAATTGGAGAGGGGTAAGATACCAACAGATGAGAACCCCTGGCTAACTGATATTTACCCAGCAGCAAAAGTGGCTTGACTACCTACAGGCATTTGGCCCACTGCGGGAACAGGCAGGCTGGTGATCAGATGACACATTTGCTAGAGCAACCCAGCCCTCTTCCAGATAGTTTCTACCTGCACCTTTCTTGGCCCCTCTCAGAGCTACTTTTTTAAGGTGTGGGTAGGCTTGCTCTGTTTTGGTTTGTTTCCAGCACGTGCAGTCACTGGGATCAAACCAAAGCAGAGCGTCTTGCTTTAGCTTCCCAGCTTGTTTCAACTTCCCAATATCAGTAGTGGCTAAACATACAACTTAACTACTTAATGATACTGGGAAATTGGGAGACTAAAAACCTCCTCTGCTTTCCCCTGGCAAAGATTTGGGAAAAAATAAAGCTGATTAGGGCACTGCTGATGCCCTCTTAGTATTCTTTAAAAACTGAAACCTTCCTCCCAGAAGCAGGAGCAGACAAGAAGGAGCAAGGTGGAGCCCCCTCCCCTTTTCTTTTCTTAAGGGAGCCAAGTAGGGTCACCTGAAATGCATATGCCATATGGATGCAAGCATGGTACAACAAGGTACACCAAATTTCTCCCTGACCTTAAGTGAGCCTGTTTATCCCAATCCAGCCAGCTCCAATTCAGCCAGGCACTGGATGAGAAGGCTGGGTGATGTTGCAGGGGTGCAAGAGTTCATGATCCCTTGGACATCCTGATTAGCAAAGACGATGGCTCATCTGACACTGTCCCCCCGTCCGCCCCCCCCGGTTCTTCTCTTCCCTCTGAACTTGCCTGCAGAATGCACTCAAGTAACTTGATTTAGGTCAAGATCCTGAGTCCTAGCACGACCGCCAGTTACTTTTTAAGGAAATAATCCCTTTGCGGCTACAGCTCCAAATCTTTAGAGGCCTGCTTCAGGCAATGTTTGCCAGCTCCAGCTGGCTTGCAGCCACCAGTTCTGTTGCAAAAGTCATTCCTGGATCTTTTATTAGGCAGTGTAAAGAGTTCTCTAGTGTTCGTTCTGAGCCTGGAGGAAGGGCCGATCTGCTTCCTTCTTTGGTTCTCAACTGCTGCCCTGACAGCTAGCTGGTCCGCGGCCCTTCTGCGGCCCATCCACCCCCTGAAAAAAATTTTAAAACCCTCCAAAGGGAGGCCCAAACGTTGCTTCTTAGGGACTTACATTATCATTTGGATACAAAACACGGGAGATGTTTTCTGCCAGGTTTCTGTCCAGTACTGCCTGAATGTAATCACCGACATTAACTGGAAAGGGGGAAAAAAATTAAAAGAGAGATGAAAGATTTTACCACCTTCTTTGAATGCCAGACCAACTTTTAGTGTCTGCCTCCTGAAAGCCAAACAGACTCCTAACCGGTCAAATCCTGATTGTACACCCAAGCCTTCGGTGGCTGGTGAGGGTTATGGCTTGGTCTTCAACCCTTCAGTCTGTTTTAATCTTTTTTCCTAACTGCTGCATCAGTTCAACGGCCAGAATCTTGTTACTTACGTATGCCACTGTAAATGCAGCCACGTAAACCACTGCAGCGGCGGGAAATTCCCGTCAGTTAAGACATCAATGTCCATGCTCCTCACCCATATACGTACTAACTCACGCAACGGACACATGACTAGAAATACAAGTGCTGACTCCTTAACGGGGTAATCTGGCTCAAAATGTAAACTAAAAGGACATGGACTGAAGTGTTTTAAAAATGTTTCTGTTTTAAAACCATTTAATTGCACCAATTTTTAAAAATGTGATTCTACAAGATTGCTGTAGAATCCACGCACATTTTCGCACAGCGGAAGAGAGGGAGAAAGCCACTGTTTATGCTTACAGTCACGGAGGTTGAAATCATTGGGGGCTCGAGCAGACCAGAGCCTCATGGTGTTGACCGTGTTGTTCATATAGCCAGGTATCGGCGTGTCGTAAGGGAGAGCCAGGACCACCTGCGGGCAAGAGGAGCTCAGTCATTCTGGCATCGGGTGGGCTTTATTCCCCAAAAAAGGACTCCTCCCTAGGCCAGGACCGGAGAAGGCGGATTTTTTATAAATTGCAATTTCTAGAATCCTTTCTGAGGGTCGTAATCCAAAAGCTAACTTTTCCAAGCTCTGTGCACGAGCCAATTCTGGAAGGCACTCCTTTCTTGCCCGTGGGGTAGCCGTGCAACTTCCTCAAAATGAAAAGCAAAATGGCTTGCTGGGCAAAGGTTTATACTGCAAAATGAAAAATTCAGTCTGGAAGGAAGAACGAGGGGAGATAGGATAGCATGTTTCAAATACAGTGGTGCCTCGCTTGAAGAGGATAATCCGTTCAGGCAAAATCGCTGTAGAACGAAATCGCCGTCAAGCGAAAGTAAAAATCCCATTGAAATGCATTGAAAACCGGTTCAATGCCTTCCAATGGGCGAAATAGCGTCCAGCGAAGATCCTCCATAGGGCGGCCCTTTTCCGATGCCTATAATGCAAGGAATCCTTCCTAAAACACAGCGGGGAGCCATTTTGCACAGCGGGCGGCCATTTTGAAGACCCAACGATCAGCTGTTTTGATCATCGTTAAGTGAAAAATTGGTTCCCGAAGCAGGGAACTTATCGTCGTAAAGTGGTTTTTCCCTATTAAAACATCGTTTTGCGATCACAAAAACGTCATTGTTAAGTGAGTTCCTTGTCTAACGAGGTAATTGTCAAGCAGGGCACCACTGTACTTGAAAGGTAGTCCTACAGAGGAGAGGCAGGATCTGTTCTCACGTCATCCCAGTGTGCAGGACACACAATAATGGGCTCAAGTGACAGGGAGCCAGATTTAGGCTGACTCTCAAGAAAAAACTTCTTAACTGTTAGAGCAGTACAACAATGGAACCCAGGACATCAGGGGGAGGTGGTGAGCACTCCAAGACTAGAGGCGTTCAAGAGAAATTCAGTCAACTTGATCTGTATTCCTGCCTTGAGCAGGGGGTTGGACTCAATTGGGGCCCCTTCCGACTCCATGGTTCTATGAAATTCTTCCGTCATCAAAGCTCCTTGAAAGGAAACCAGACTCTGGATGGGCCCCCCCCCACATCCCACCTGCTGGACTGTCATGTGCCCACCAGACCATGCTTCACCCAAAGAGGAGGAGAGGGGGGAAACCATGTCTTTCCCTTACCACAGTGTTGCAAAGGAGATTAACCTTGGGAGTTGACCCCTTACTCACAAACACACAGGGCAGTCTCATGGCTGGAGCGCGAGGAGGGTGGCCACCACCCACACAAGTTCACCCCCCAGCAACGCCTTCCCCTTCGGTTACCTGTGTGTCTACCCATCTCACACCCGTCTGGGTGTGCTCCACTCTCCCATAGAAATGAATGGGAAGCATGTACTCAGGCCGGGCTTTCTCCCATGGGTTCCCATGTCTCAGCCAATCATCGGCTTCTTCCACCTGCACGGAAAGAAGGCAATTCTGAATGTTAGAGAAAAGAATCATCTGCCACCTGGGTTTGCCCTTCCAAGAGCCAGGAGGACCCACCGTGGCCACGCTCCTCTGCACTCGACACTCACGCCAGTTTGGCAACGATGGTGAACACGACCCAGGCCAATAACTTTATCTCCACAGACAGAGAGCTTATGTTATGGGTGGATCTCATTTACCGTATTTTTCCGTGTGTAAGATGATCCTTTTTTCTAAAAAAATTTTGGACAAAAAAATTGGCGGTCATGTTACAACGGCGTTCCATGTCTAGTCGCGCTGGCCACATGACCATGGAAACTGTCTTCGGACAAACGCTGGCTCTACGGCTTGGAGACGGGGATGAGCACCGCGCCCTCGAGTCGGACAGGACTGGACTCAATGTCAAGGGGAACCTTCACCTTTTATACATGGGGGTAACTGGTTGAGAGAACCCCATGGTTGCATGGCAAAGCTGCATCCACCAAGGTTGAAGGAAGTGACATGCCCGGAACAAAGAATGATGGATAATTTCATCTTTAAAATATTACCTGATTACTGGTAATAAAGATGCCTTTAGTATTTGAAAACTTTTTAAAAATGTGTTCTGCTTTATATTTAAAATATTGATTTTTTAATGTTGGGTTAGAAAAGTAAGGGTCGTCTTATACATGGAAAAATACATCTTGGACAGCCGGAAACAGTACAACCCTGGATGGGATCCTGACTGGATTCTGCTTCAGTTACGAAAGTGGGCTTGAACTAAACCTGAAATGTAAGAAGGGTCGGCTCTCCAAACCACACAAAGCCAAGTGTGTTTGGACCACAGTTGCCCAAATCCCAAGGCTATCGTACGAGCTGTAGTCCCCCAAACCCAACTGGAGAAGAATGACAATGGCTGAGGTCAATGGAAATCCTAGTCCAACGTGTCTGGAGGGCACCAGGTCGGGAAAGCTGCTCCAAACCAAAACTGCATTGCGATGGGTCAACCAGAGGGTCATGGTTAAATGGGCTTTCAGGAAAGTCCAGGCAGTGGAACTTTCTCCTCTTTCGGAGCCCTAGAAAGGGACGCACTGTCCTTTGGGCTGCGACACGTTTGGAAATGATGCAACAGAATTCTCTGGTGGACAACCAAGCCAAAGAAATTGCATTTATTGATTCTTCAGGACTCAACCAATGCACCTCCGTTCTGTAATCTCTCTCTCTCTCAAAGGGCTGGTTATCTATTCACCAGAATCTTCTCCATTAATCATTGTCTTATTCCACTCCCTGGAACCTTTTGAACCAGCAAAAGCTCACCAATCTGGCTAAGGCACCCACACATGTGTGTGTGTGTGGGGGGGGGCACGGTTTAAAAAAAGGAAGGATCCTCGTTTTGAGGTCACCCATTGTGACTGACGATTGATTTATCTGACAGGCAGAGACTCTGAGAAGGTCCTGGATAGTTTTGATTGTTCGTTTGTTTAAAAGAACCGAATTTTAAACAAAATTTTAAGAAACATAAATTTTAAATAAATAAAATATTTTCACTTCGCCTTTCTCCTTAAAAAAAACCCCAAGGTGGCGTACGTCATTAAAAAGACAATATTTAAAATTCAAAACAGTATACAAACACTGTTCCATGGAGAACCCCCCAGTTTAGGATCAGCCCACAAGGGTAACGGGGAGAGCCAGTACATTCCTACCTCATACAGAAGATGCTATCACCCACAAAAGTTTCTATCAAATCAAAGAGATTAATCTTTAAGAGGTTCCGAGTCTCATTGCTTCTGACTCAAGAAAGTTATAAAGCTAACTCTTAGGCGTCACTTCCCTCTTCTTTTCAGAGCAGAGACTTGGCGTGTGTTTTGCTGTCCTTTGGCCACAGAGATATGCAGTGAAAGATAGGTCTAAATGGAAATTATCCATTTATCCTCCCCAGAAGGATAGAAATGTCAGTGTAGCATCTCAGATCTTCCACAGACATCTCCCCTATGCTTACCTGCCACCCTTCTCTGATTTTCTGGTTGAAGATCCCATACTCGTAACGTATCCCATAACCGTAGGCTGCGAGGCCAAGGGTGGCCATGGAGTCTAAGAAGCAGGCTGGAGAAAAAAGAAGGCACAGCCAGGGTCAGCAACCGTTTGCCCCAGACGATGACCCAGCCCCCTCCCAAAGCCCCTGCTGTGGCCTTCCCAGACTGAGCCTGGTACAGGTTAAAATTAGGAGGACCTACAGTGGTGCCTTGCATAATGAGTGCCCTGTTTAACGACGAATCTGCATAGCGATGTGGATTTTGCGATCGCAAAAGCGATCGCATTGCGATGGTTTATATGGCTGAATATCACATTGCGATGTTTTAGAAACAGCTGATCGGCGGTTCCAAAATGGCCGCCAGAAGAAAAAAATGGCCACCTGCAGTGTTTTCGTGCCCTTTCCCTCGCATACCGGGCAGCGAAAATGGCAGCCATATGGAGGATTTCCGCATAGTGGTGAGTTTATCCCCCATAGGAACGCATTAAACAGAGTTTAATGCATTCCTATGGGGTTTTCCGTTCCTTATAGTGACGATTCCGGATAGCAACGATTTATCCGGAACGGATTATCATCGCTATGCGGGGCACCACTGTATTTGGAATTGGATGCCCAGGGATGGAAATTCGGCTTGCATGACCGGCTCACAGAAAAACCCATCCAGAAGAACTACAGGAGAAACACTTTGGGACACAGGAACACAGACTGGGAACACAGGAATGTCACAAGTAGCTTTATACTGGGTCAGATCCTGCGTCTGGGTGGAATTTTTGCAACCTCGCATGCAGCTTCTAGTTTGTTTGGCTGCGAGGGGCTTTTCTGGGCTTGAGTGACTGTCCAGTAGAGATGGGAACAAACTAGAGACAGTTGTCTGTCCCTTACCTATACACTTCCTGCTCTCTTTTCAAGACAAGAAAAAACTCTTGTTGTTCTAGGCCCTATGTAAGCAGCCTATGGTGGGGGGATCAGTGGGGCTGCACTGTAAATATTCTCAGCAAGGCCTGACCCTTTTGCTCACCTGCAAGTCTGCCTAGACCTCCGTTCCCCAGGCCGGCATCTTCTTCAATTTCCTCTAACTCTTCTATGTCCAGTCCCAGCTAAAGAACCACACAGAGAAACAACAAAACGCTCTTGGAATTATGTCGGAACCACAGTTGAAGGAAGCTGCTTTTTTAAAAAAACGGGAATTGGCCTGTAAGAGGCCCAAACTTTCCAAAATCGTCCTGAGTTACAAGCTCAGAGCCATCATGGAACCGCACGATTTGTTCTGGAAGATCGGGAAGGGTTTGTTTGAAACAGACCCAGGAAAAAAGTGCTAGTTGGTTTAGCCCAGAGGCCCATGTCTGTCGTCTGTGCCTTTCCGGTCCTTATCGCTAGCTGTGGCTTCAAACATTCATTCGGTGCAACGGAGGGAATCATTTCTGTGCGTGTGTGCATGCGTGCAAGGAGGGAAAACATATATTGTCTGAACCGGTTGAGATAGTCCTGACCTTTCCAGCAGATTAGCAAGACCAAAAAATGTTCCAGACCACCTTGGAACGACTCAAGTCTGTTACGGAACCAGATCCCTTTTGGTGTTAGATTTGCAAAACAGACCTATCTGTGTTATGCCAACAGGGGAGTGGATTGCACAGAGGAAAGTTCCCCCACTGTATCACCAAGAACACACCGACCTGACATGGTTTGGGAAGCTAAGCAGGGTCAGGCTTGATTTGTGCTCCGATGGGAGACTGCAACATAATACTGGAGATCTCCAGAAGGGCAAGGAAATAACCCCTCAAACACTGTGTGGTGAGGTGTGTGTGGTTAAGCTACTTTTATGATGAAATTAGAATTGTTGATGATAAGTATTGGATAGAAGGATATGCAGGTGAAAGAATCTATAGAGATTTTACATCCCTGGTTCACACGTGGAGCAAAGAAATATAACGAAAATGGGAAAAGTACTTGCTGAATGTCTTAAATGGTTTGATAAGTACAGGTAATGCCTCAACTAGATTACATATTCTGACCACAATTGTTTAGAAGGTACTGATGACAAGCCAGAAACATGAGGATATTAAGTACTGTAATTCATGAACTACAGTTGGTTTATGCAATTAAGAGTGGCTTGAATATAAGATCAATACAGGTTTAAGTTTATATATTGACAGTTTATGTACGTTAATTATTGGAGGTTATGTAGTCAGAATTATATATCAAATGGATTTGGCCTAAAGACGTTAAGTAGGGGAATATGGTACGTGCAGTCAGTAATGTATGTTAGATGGATATATGGAAAATTTTCTCCCCGATTATGTGTTTTGTGCTTGCTTTGTATGTCTGTTTGTGTTATTAATTAATAAAAAAAGAAAAAACAAACACTGGAGAATCGTTAAGTGACGACACTGGGCGAGATGGTGTGACTCGGGCATTCGTAAAAGAGCCCGGTTTCCCCACCAATTTATTGCCTGCTCTTGCAGGGGAAGCAGAAGCGATCGGTCGGGAAGCCAAAGCGGGCAACCACAACATCCGCTCCCAACTTAAGGGAAGGAGGCCTTCTCTGAACAGGCGGGACGAATTTCCTTCAGGCCTGTTGTTGGAAGGGAAGCCGCCGACGTTGCATTCACACAGACTCTGACAGTCTGCAGAAAAAGCAGGCATTCTAAATATCGGAAGTAAATACCTAGCCCACCTTTGGGGGGGCATTAAAAATTAAGCTTCCAGCTCAAGGTAGATTCACAGGCAGGTGGGTGATGCCACTTGAAACAAGGGTGCAAAATATTATCTGCACCTGCAAAGGGAATGGCGAATTTTTGCACCACAGCCAGTGTGGCCTAGTGGTTACAGAGGGTTAACTAGGACTCAGGAAGCCAAGGTTCAAGTCCCTCCTCAAGCCGTGAAGCTGATTCACCTTCCGAAGGATGCCAACAACCACCTGGAACAACTTCAGAGGGAGGGCAACCAGGAGGATCAGGGCGCTAGAAACCAAGTCCCTAGGAGGGAAGAGCTGGAAGAACTCGGCATGTTTAGTCTCGAGAAAAGAAGACAGAAGGGAGAGAGAGAAGATCATTTTTCAAATATTTGGAAGATGGTCCTACAGAGGAGGGGCAGGAAATGTTCTCAATCAACCCTGAGTACAAGACACGTAGTAATGGGCTCAAGTTGAAGGAAGCCACATTTCAGCTGTAGATCAGAAAAAAACTTGACTATTAGAGCAGTATGACAATGGCATCAAGGACTTGGGAGGGTGTGAGTGCTCTAGCGCTGGAGGCATTCAAGAAAAAACTGGATAACTACCACGTCTACTTTGATTCATATTCCTGCACTGAGGAGAACATGGGACTCGATGGCCTTATAAGCCCCTTCCAACTCTACAGTGGTGCCTCGCTAGATGATGATAATCCATTCCACTGAAATCGCTGTTTAGCAAAATCATTGTCTAGTGAAAAGCATTTCCCTATTGGAATGCATTGAAACCTGTTTAATGCGTTCCAATGGGGAAAAATCGTCGTTGTCTACCGAAGATCGGCCATAGGAAAGCCGCTTTGCGAACCGCTGATCAGTTATTTAAATAGCTGTCTTGCGAAGGTTAGGTCCCAAAAACACCCGTTCTGCGAGCACAGAGGGAGTTGTCAAAATCGTTGTCTAGTGAAAATCGGTTTGCGAAGCAGGGACCAAACATTGTCCAGAGAAATTCCCCCATAGGTATCACTGTTTTGCGAATCGCTATAGCGCTCGCAAAAAGTCAATGTCTAGCGAAAAAACTGTCATGCAGGGGAACTGTCTAGCGAGGCACCACTGTATTATTTTGTGATTCTATGACTCAGTGACTTCGAGCAGTCTTTTTCTCTTCTCAGCTCGGTCTAGATCCCGCAGCTGTTGTGAAAATGTAGAAAAGAGAACCATCGCAACCATCATGGATATCTTGCCTTAAGAAAGTGTGGGTTGCAAGTCAAGGCCCCCTTAACTCCTCCACAACGGGTGTTAATGCAGCCAGGTTCTCCACCTCAAACCAGAGCTTAACTAGTAACTTTTCTGACTAGGAACTTTTTACATGTCATTGCCAAAAGAATCACCCTGTTAATGCACGGTTGCCAAACCAACCGCGTGACTCTTCCCAAGCGCCTGACAAAGAAGCCATCTCAGGGAGTCCACGGAAGCTTCCGGCAAAGAAAAATGGCGAGTCTTTACGATGCAACAAGATTCTTTGTTGGGTGTTGGAAGGACATTTTCTCAAGAACATCCCCCATTCCCAGTCACAGGCCAGGCTGGCTGTGTGTGTGTGTGTGTGTTCTTGGACTTAATTTCAACCGGAAAGAAGGTTCAACGGCTCCTTTCTAGGCATGCACACAAGAGATCCCCCAAATCCGAACAGCAGCGGTACCTGATAAATGGCCTCATCGCAGGCGTTCTGCAATCCAAGGTTTATCATGGTGTTCTGCAGAGTCCGGCCCATGTAGAACTCTAAGGAAAGGTAGTAAATTCTCTGGAAAAAGAAAAGAGAAATGGCAGGTAAATCCCCCCCCCCAATGTCCAGGGTTGGGCGGCACCAGTTTCACGATTGGGACCGAGTGCTTGGACAAGTTAGACGGCTTAGAGGATTCTCAGGGTTGTAGGCAAAAAAAGAGCGACTTTTTCGAGCTTTGCTGAGACCTATCTGGGTTAGCATGGCTCATATAAAAGTCTGCCTGGGTTCCTGGATGAACTCACAGAACTCGCCTACTGCTTACAGAAAGCTTAATGATGCAGAAGACACCGTTCATATGCAATATCCAAAACTGTGGATGGATCATACCTGGATCATGCCACTAAAATATTATTAAAAGACTAATGTTCAGACCCTGCAGGGTTAGCTTTAAGGCACTGTAGTTTGGGAGAGGAAAGACGGGGCCAGCAGCTAGAGAGAAGGCCCCTCTCTCGTGTCCCCACCAGAGGCACCTGAGAGGGTCACAGGACAGAGAGAAAGGCCTCTCCGGAAGAATTTTAAGGGCAAGCTCAAAAAGGGAAATGTGGCCTTTTAGATGCCTTTGAACCAAACTGTATCGGGCCCTTTGAATTGTGCCTGGAGATGGATTGCCAGCCCGTGGAGTGGCTGTAACAGGAGAGTTATATGTTCCCTGCAACCAGCCCCAGGTAACAATCTGGCTGCAGCATTTTGGCATTTCTGGGAAGGTCATGGAGTCACCTGGGATTTCATCCCCAGGGCCGAAGGTTGTCCACTCTCGCCACAGACAAGGAGTCTGTCTACCCGCTGTTCTGTAGTCTCCGAAGCGATGAATTTTACAGAGAAAACAGATTCTCATAACAATATGGCCGTGTTCCTGCTCATTCCCCCACTAGGGTTAAGTCAGGAGACAGGGAAGGAAGGAAGGAAGGAAGGAAGGAAGGAAGGAAGGAAGGACATGATGGATGTAAGGAAGGAAGGAAGGAAGGAAGGAAGGAAGGAAGGAAGGAAGGAAGGAAGGAAGGAAGGAAGGAAAATGGCCGAAGATGCATGGAGACACAGAAGTCATTGGGGAACCTCTCTTCTACAGAATCCTGTTGCCATTTACCTCTGACCTGAACCCATTTATATGTTCAATGCGAAAAGGGGATATATACATAAACCTGGCTTGACTCATGCAGGATCAGCAGTTTTGCGACAGTGATTATTTGCTCTGCCTTTGATTTTGTAAAGAACACAAAGAATTCCTTTAAGTCAACAGCTTCCAGGGGAGTAACTGCGTTAGCCTCTGGCAGCAGAAAAATAACCCCAGCAGAGTCTAGGGGCAAACCTGTTTTCACTTGTTTGCCATTCAGGGAGGCTCCGTTCCCCCCAAAGTCAACAGGGCGCACCCACCCAATGAAAGCTAAACTCTAATGAAGTATCCAAAGCTCTGGATCTAGGAGGAAGAGAACCACACAGAGAACTCACAAAATTCTACCATCCACCCACCTGTAAGAGCTGGACAGGTAAGGCAAAAAGGAGCAGAAGGTTGCCTTTCTCAAGTAAAAACAGGGGACTGTAATATTTAGCGGAAGAACTGACCAGGTGAATCCACTGTGTTGTATTCTCCTATATTCCCCAACTGTGTGTTTTTTCTGAAATAACCACAGCCACCTTACAAGCTGCTATGTATGCTAATTGGTTTATTATTTATTTGAAGCGGAAGAACTGACCAGGTGAATCCACTGTATTGTATTCTCCTATATTCCCCAGCTGTGGTTTTTTTTTTTCTGAAATAACCACAACCACCTTACAAGCTGCTATGTATGCTAACTGACTTATTATTTATTTGAATTAAAATATTTTTACCCCATCTTTCTCCTTGACAAGGACACGGCGGAACTTTTATTGTTCAAAGACAACATTTAAAGCTGAAAACCATGTGTATACAAGGGCAGTATACATCATTACAAGAGAATATTCAAGCTGAAACAGTAAATTTTAAAAGGAACAAACACACACCACTCCAAGAGATAGTAAACCCTAAAGACCCAGTCAGAACAGTCATGCATAAGAATCCATCTGAAAGTCACTCATGTCGCTGCCAGTCACTGAGGTGACGTCTGCCTAAAGAGAAAAGGGTTTTGTCTGCTTGCGGAAAGACAGCAAAGATGGGGCCAGGCGGGCCTCCAGTGGGAAGGAGTTCCACAGTCTTAAGAGCACCAGATCTGACTCATTTAAATAAGAATTAGAAAGATGGGGCCAGGCGGGCCTCCAGTGGGGGGGAGTTCCAGAGTCTAAAGGAGCAGCCACAGAGAAGGTCCTCTCCCGGGTCCCATCAAGATCCTGGGATTAATTGGCCCAGGAATCCTTGTCATCACTTACAGAACAATGTTTCCTGGGAGGGGAACAACTGAATATCAACCAGGGCCTTAAAGGTCACTGCTCGGTGTGAAATGCCGCACTATCAACAATGTGTGCCCGGAAAAAGAAAAACAGCTTCTTTGTTAAACATACAGTCTCTTCCAGCAACGATCCCATGTATAAATACTTGCCATGTAGTCTCATTCTTATGCCTGAAGAAGTGGACTTGTTAGTGAAAGCTCACTGTAAACTACAGTATAACAGTCTTTAACGTGTCGCAACCTTTTTGTTGACTTAATTTTTTTAATTTTTATTTTGCCTAATGTGCTAGCACAAAGTAACCCTTTAAAGATTTATTCACCTCTTAATCAGAAATATAGTGATCTCCAGACACACCTGCAGGAAAAGGTGGTCCAGGATGACTTGATAAATCAAGAAGGGGACAATTGTAAGCGGCCGCACGATGGGGACCAAGGTGGCATTTTCGGAACTGAGCATGTGGCGGTGTGGGAAAGGGAGGAATATGGCCTGAAGTCAGACTTTGAGACAAATGAGTGTCTGGAAAGAGAGAGATAGAGAGAGGGAGAGAGGCCAGAAGATTATGGGGTGAGGCTCTCCACAGGAAGCCAGGAAACCTCACCTCTGAAAGGGATTCCAGCTGATGTCACAAACGGGATTACACCTTAATCTACCAGGCTAAAGCCCCATTAAAGGCTGTTAATGTCAAAAATTAACTGAAGAGATCATTAAGTCAATCCAATTCAAAGAACAGATTCCTTTATCTTTTTGCTGAAGCAGACGGCTCGACGCTTTCTAGGATCGGCTTTCTTTGGCTGAAGATTTTCCCCAGCCTTTAAAAAAAAATAAGAAGAAAATGAGTTGGGCCAGGCCATCTGTGTGCAGGGTGTTGATAGCATTATTAAAAACATTACAGCAGATTCTGGAAGAAACAAAGGTGCTGATTCACTTTACGGAGAGGCGGGAAGACAACCGAGTTCTACCTTCAACCGTAGATTGTACCAAGGATTTTGTCCAATGCCTGTTGGGAGAATCGAACCACAAAACGATGCCTGTGTTGCTACCGATGGCTCTTAGGTGACTTTACTTAAGGGGGCTCTCTGCAAGATTTCCATAGGGAGAAAAAAAATCTGCTATATTCTAACACTCCAATGCTTTGAAGACTAGATGACTAGCTAACCCATACGCCACTGCCTTCTTACTTGACCACCAACAGGCTGCAGATCCTGAGTCGTTTATGGGTTCCTGTCATGCACCCTAAAGGGGGTTGCCCTTGAAGACTGACCAAGATCTAAAACTGATCCAGAAGATGGTTCTCCTTGAGTTGTCCAAGAAGACGACCATGTTCTCTTGCATTTCAGCTATTTCAGTTTGTTTCTGGTCTGACACAGAGCAGACGATGGGGATAATGCAGGTCCCCCCCCTTCTGCTGCACGACAAACAGAAAGGGGGCCAGCTCCGGGACAGACCCGAAGAAACTGCCTTCATCTCAGCATAGAGGATTATGGGATTTGGGACAGTGAGACGGAGTGACAGCCGCCAAGGTGGACAGCTTTCAAAGGGAATTGGGCAAATCCGCAGATGATAAGGCGACGGATGGCTAGTAGCCACGAGGGTTATGTAATATATCTAGAATCAGGGTAGTCGGTCCTTTGGCAACAGCTACGGGGAGATGCAAGAATGGGGGGGTGTTGCGGCAAGACTCCGATTTCACAGGAAAGGTGGGTCCCCTTGGGATCCGAGTCTGAACTTTACAGGAATGATCCTATCCAAACTTAGGTTGAAGGGAAAAAACTCAGCAACTTGGGTAACTTCAGTAAAGTTCAAACTAAAATGCAGAGCAGATTTGCCACTTTTCCCCATAGGGATCCGAGTTTGTTCCTGTGTGATGAGAATACTGGATAGGGTGGGGAAACCTCCGGTCTGATCCGGCACATCTCTCTTTATGCCGGAAGGCTTTGTAACCCAAAGTATCTTGAACATCTCCTCCTCCTCCTCCTGTTCTATAACCTTAGCCAATGACTTTATTCCCCCCCAGTCAGAAGTGTGGCAACGAGGATTTTTTGAATGGTGGCATCCACCTAGAAGGCGTGATGGTACGGATGAACTTCCACCTTCTGAATCGAAGTAAAATGCTTGGCAGTGCCTCTTTCTTTTCCTCTTTAACCTCTAGCAAAGCCACAAAATCCCAAGCCTGGTGGTACCATGGCTGCCTTACATTCTTATCTTAAGAAAGCAGGATTCTCTGCAAAAAGACAATAATGTTGGGAAAAGCAGAAGGCAGCAGGAAAAGAGGAAGACCCCAAGATGAGATGGACTGACTCCCTCAAGGAAGCCACCGGCTTGAGTCTGCAAGATCCGAGCAGGGCTGTTGAGGACGAGGCCTTTTGGAGACGGCTCATTCATGGTGCGGCCGTCAACTGGAGAAGACTTGACAACCCATAGCAATGACAAAGCTCCTATAAACAGAGAGGTTTAGGTGCCCCAAACCAGGTGAGAGCAGGAATGGCACAAACCACACAGAAAAGGTGAGAGGAGGGGCACGCAGAGCTAAAAAGCTCAGAAGCATCAACCGCCTGGTCCGGAGCGACCCTTTCCGATTCAGACCGAGAAACTCTTTTCAAAGGCCCCAGGGACGGATCAGGGTTGGCCAGGGTATCAAGGAGGTCAACAAGAAAAAAATTAATGAGGCTGGGACTGAGCCTAAATGCCTTTATTCTCTCCTTCCCTAAAGAGACAAGAGCACAAGAGATATAGATGGAAGTAAAGGAGAAACGGAAAGTCACCTTAAAAACTGGCACTCAACCGCTAGGAGTGTGCGTCAAATTACTCCTGCCTTGTTTGTTTCTGGTCTCCCAACAAACTTACTGTAAGCTACTTCGCTTGTATTTTAAATAGCGTATAGGAGTATAAATTAAAGCAGAGGGTCGTCAACCCGCCCGGGGGCGGTCCATGGCCTGAGCCGGACAGGGCCACAGAGACAGAGCCCCCCCGTACGCAAGAGCATGGGGGTGGTGGTGCCCCACCTTCCTCAGAGGCTCAGCTGGTCTGCGGTCCCAAAAAGGTTGGGGACCACTGAATTCAAGGATTAAAAAAAAATAAACAATGGCCAACACCTTTTGCTGTTCTACACAGGGCAAGAGTGGGGGACAGTAAATGTGGTCTCCATTTATTCTAAGAAAAGGAAAGTGTTCTGCTTCTATATCGCCCCGTAGTGCTTAAAGCTGTCTTTGGGTCATTTACAATTAAATGATGCAGGGTGCCTCTAGTACTCCCCCTCCCCAGTAAGCTGGGTGCTCATTTTGCTGACCTTGAAAGGATGGAAGGCTGAGTCAACCCTGAACTGCTTGCCTGAGCCCATAGGGATCAGTCTCAGGTCTTGAGCAGATTCTTGACTGCAGTACTGCAGTTTAACCGCTGTGCCTTGAGGCTCCTCGCCTATATGGGGAAAGGGACTTCAGGGTGGTTCTGTTTTTTTGTGGTGGTGGGGGGCTTTGGATTGCACAGGTCAGAATACTCTAGCCCGCCCACTTATACTGAGTGGGAATTCTGGGAGTTCATGAGGTCTAGCTTCTGTTTGCTGTTTAAATTTATCCGTAAGGTTTAGATTAAAAAGTCTGGCCCGGTATTCTGTTCATAGTGGGCAACCGCAAGCAAGATAAGTGTGAAATGCCCTTGGAAAAATTACTTTTTTGGAGTACAACTTGCAGAGTCCTTCCCTTAGAGGCCAGGATGGCTAGAGGATTAAAGAAGCTGAATTCCCACACACACACACACACACACAAAAGGAAGACTGATTACTCAGGCACTGGAAATAATTTATGGTCACATAGTTCTCCCAGGAATTTGTCCAGCTGCCTTTTAAAGCACCCAGCCTGGCAACCAAGTTGGTTCAGGGCCCAGAAACAAGGTTTCTTCAGTTGTGGCAGAGGACATTTCACCACCTCTGCCCCCCCTCCCTCATATTTTAAATTCCAGCCAGTACCTCCAACAGGGCCGTATTGTGTGAATGGAGCTTCAAAACCTGCATCTTCCAGCAACTTGTGTTTATTATCAATCTTCCCCTCTCCAACCTCTTTTTTTTTTACCTCCTCCCGCTGAATTAAAGAACTCTGGACACTAAAGCATAAAACAAAGTCATGAGTAAAGCGTCTGCCGGCCCGGCCCACCACAGTGGAAGGTTCAGGGTCTCACAGAACATTTCCTCCTACTGAAGGAAGAGTGCTGTGGGACTCCCAAAACTTGCTTCATGGATGTCGAAGGCAAAAGCCGCCCTTTTGAGACGGACTGGGCTCTTCCCTTGGCTTCCCTCCACCGTCCCTGCCGCCCTTGCCCGCCTCCCCTCGTGGGTCTCACCTTCGGATCTCTCTCGTAGTAGTACTGCTGGGTGCGGATCCATCTGCCCACCAGGTGGTCCCGCACGGTGTGGGCCAGGGCAAAATAGTAGTCCCGGGGGGTGGCCACATTGCGGTCCTTCACCAGCGTGAAGTGGAGGTGCCGGTTGAAGCCCTTCTTCAGCTCGGCCACGTTCTCCACGCCCACGATGCCACGGATGCTGATCTGCTTCCTCTTCTCCTGGTCGGTCAGAGGCCGAGACATGGCTGCCGAGGCTGGGGGGGAACAAGCCGGAGGTGGCTTTCAGACCACAAGGATGGAGCCGCTGTGAGCCAGATCCTGCCTCTCTTGTCTCTCTCAATCATCTCTCCCTTTCCGGAACAGAAACCTGATTGAAGGGAGGTGTCGGGTGCCGCAAAGATTGAGATTTAACAGGCCGCTCAGAGGAGTAAGCCAAGCAGGGCCTTTTTAAGGGAGGTCTATCTGGCCCCAGACAAGAGGCTGGATAGCTCAGTGGTTTGGGTCTCCGGTTTCAGAGCCGGGGACTCTTCGGAGTATAGCCAGCCTGGGTAGCCTTGGGCCAGTGGCACCATCATTCCAGGGCAACTCCGGAAGAAGGAAAGGGGAAGATCACTTCGGATTATTCTCCCCCTGGGGGAAAAAAAGGGTTGCCGTCATTCGGAACTGATTCGACGGCATACAGTGATTATTCTTTATCCAGCCCACATTAGCAGTCCGTGCTAAACTCAAAAAACCTGGGTCAGGATCCCCCATTTTTATGCCCCTCTTCCCTTCCCTTGGGAGATGTTGGCGAAAACGTCATTTGGATACATCCCGTTCGGCCAAGCCGAGGTCAGAAGAAAATCCAGATCGACCGATCTCTTTATGGGCAGAAGGAATGTTTGTGTGCGCTTTTGCCTAAGGGTGGGGCCCGGCCCCAAAGAAGAGCCGAAAGTGTTATCTCTAACCACGGGAGATCCATCATTTCTAAGTGGTCTTCTCAGCTGGTCCTAGCAGCAATTCCAAGAGGCCACCCGAATCCAGCACAAACAGACTTAACACATCTCACATTGGTGTATTTTTTTAAAAGACAATAATAGTAATAATGTATCATTAAAATTTTCCAGCCTCCCAACCTACTAATAAAGCAAATGGAACAGCCAAATTCAGGGGAAGTAAGGAATATTCTTTATAACTAATTTGCTTTATATCTAATTAGTTATAAATATTCTTTAGAACTAATTTGCTTTATAACTAATTAGTTATAAATATTCTTTAGAACTAATTTGCTTGCTATCCAGGGGGGTGAACAGACACTGGAATTTATAATAGTCCCTCTGATGCAAAATAAACAGTTTTTCTGGAATATTTACAATTCCACAACCACCAACAGAGTGGTGAAATGGGATAGATTGTGACACTAGGATTTAGGAGGAGATCTGGATTCGAATCCCTGCTCAGCCATAGAAGCTCACGAGGACGAGTAGCAATGGAAAAATTAGCCATTAAATAGCTCACATGCCTTAGTAACACTATTAATTGTAACTTTGTGCCTATTCTGACTTAGGGTGATCATTTCCAGGGATTTTCAAGGACAGAATGCTCAGGAGCAGTTCATCCTTCCATTCTAGGGGGGGGGATTGTCCTGGAAATGTGCCATCTGCCCAATGACACCCCAACTGGGGTGTAAAGATGGGGAACCCAATTCCCAGACTCTGGCCCTGCAGCCAGAGACCTAATTCAAGTCAGCGAAAACCCTATCAGGGTTGCTAAAAGTTGGATGCATCTTAACAGCCCATGAGCACAATCCTGCAGGTGAACGATGCCAAACAATATCGCAAATATAATGAAGCTCCCCCATGCGATCCCAAAACATTCTATTTTTCTTGTCAGTCCCCAGTTATATGCTAAATTCTCAGACAAGCCAAACCTCAGCAAACCTCTTCATACAGAGGCCACTCCCAATGAGCCGGCCATTTACAAACCACTTCAAACCAACCATTCTGCTTTTAATATTTGGATCATGCCAGCTTCATAACTGCAACATAATTTTTATTGATCGTTCGATGGCTTCCCGACCTTTTTCTCTTGCAGGACTTCCGGCGGCTCAGCAAGAGAGGCTTAAAACATAATACAGCTCCCAAACCACTAAACTGCAATGTTAAAACACCGCTGAATAAATTATTGGACTAAAACAGATACATAATGAATGATGCTTACAACTCTTCAAGGCCTTTTAAAAGCAACCTTACAACAGCAGTGAAACACCCTGTCCTTAAAAATCCTGAATTTAAAAAAATATTTCCCTCTTCACTCCTTTGGAGGTCTTGCATCTATCTGTCTGCTAGTAGGGGCTTTACCCAAATAAATCTCCTTTTTTTCTCTCTCTCCTGGCTGATAGGTGATGAGCAGGTCAGCTGGAAGACCAGCCTTCTTTTTGCAAGAAAGTTTCCGCGGGCTGCTCACCTGGATGAGAACTAAGCCAAATCCACACAGTAGGAACGGAAAATCCTGTAGGAAGGCAGAGGGACACGATCCCTCGCTTTGGCCAGCAGCGTCACCGAAGGAAGGAGAAAGGGACCAGCCTTTTGGGGGGGGCACCTGAAACACAGATCGGTTAACACTCTAGTAAATACCACTACACCGGTCAGAGCTCGGGGGGGGGAGCTTGTGGACGCAGGCTGGAGGGGAGGGTCCCTCACCCCAAAACGTTCATGTCAAGAGCTGTCTAGAGGGGGAACTGAGAAGGTCTTTCTTCTTCTGCCCCCCCACCGTGTCTGCCTCGATGGTGACCCCCCCACACAGCTATTTGGCAGGACTTGGAAGGCGGCAGGCCCAGCAAGTCTCAGCAAAAGGCTAGGCATCTTCCTGCCGAGGTGTCTCCACCAAATCTTAAAGACCCAATATTTGGATCCCACTACCAACGAGGAGGTGCTCCAAAGGAGAAGCTCGTGTCCACTTCATAACGTGGTCGCACGCAGAAGACATGAATGGGCTGGCCACTTTTTTGTATGGAGAATAATTGGAACCCCGCCTGGGGGGGGGGGGAGAGAACAGGAAGGATGCCCTCGGATAACGCGGCGAAGGCCTGAAGGCACTACGTACTACATGGGAAGAAACCGAAACACTGTCGCAAGAGCGAAGGAGTTGGAAAGATGCTACATGGCATGGAAGCAGATCATCATCTTCTTCTTCTGCCCTGTGGAAGCACCTCCCCCCCCTCAAGGACCAGAGGAGAGAGGGGCTCTGCAGCCGCACCAAGAGGTGCGCACAAAACTTTGAAATTTTACTTTTTAAGAAAAGTACAAGTCCCAGCATCCCTCAGCCGGGGATGGAGCGCTGGGTCCAACCCTGATTCTGATTCTTCTTCTTCTGCCCCTTGCAAATCCTGTCATCCCAGGCTGGAAAGCTGCCCAGGAAGGCTTTGACAACCCTGTTCAGAGCCAGGATCGTGTCCCTTAAACAAGAGCCCAGCCTGGCCTCATCCTGCCTCCCTTTTTGCAATTCACGGGCCAGAATCCTTGCTGGGCAGCTTCAAGGAAAGGCCCG